CAGCTGCTGCAACGGTGTGATAGGTTTGTCGAAGGCGGTTCCGGCTGAATGAACGCTGACAGGCTGCATTTTCACCTCCCGCATTCGTCTCTCATTGGGAGTCAGAAGACTGGCAATTCCTTTTCTCCCGCCAACCGCATGCCGAGTTGCAGCTGGTCGCCAGCTTCATTTTCGCTATTGGAGCACAGGCGTAATTGCGCGGCGATGGAGCGGCATTCGCTGTGCGCCGAGTGGGAGAGGTTGTTGTTGTGGACGACGCCTTCGCACTGCACGTCCCAAGGCTGACCGTCGGATCGATGGTTGGCCTGTTGACGTCGAGGTTGAGGAGAGGCAAGCAAGGAAGCAAGACTCCAGCCTGGAGGGAAAGGCACGACTGAAGCAGGCAAGCTCGAGCCTCACCGCCTACGACAACTGGGCCGCGATCGAGCAAGTCTGGTGGGGCAGAACCGAAGAAGTAAACACAAGCACAAGGCACCGCACAGCACCGCACCGCACCGTGCCTGGACCTGGTCGCGGTGATCCACTCGCGGTCACACACCACTTGGGATCTCTCTCACTCAACCTCCGTACTCATCGCATCGCGACCCTTACTGCCGTCTGGAGAATATCCCCTTCTGCCTTCTGCTCCTACCCAACCTGCGCCTTACCATCGCGCAGAACTCTCCTCACCGACTCTGCTCGCCCTGCCAGTCTCCTGTACGTCTACGTCTGTTCGATTATTCAACTGCGAAGTGTTCCATCCATTGCTATTCCGGGCGCCATTCGCACATCTCAACTTGAACCTGCATACCGTTAAGGCTAGCTCGGTGCTGGTCCTGTCTGCTCGACGCTTCCAATTCAGACCTGCCCACTCCTCTTTTTGCGCCTCCCACGGTCAACCGCGTCACATTCATCCCATCAACCCACTGGCTTGCCCTTGACCCCACGTTGCGAAGCTGCAACTGCAACTGCAGAAAACACTCTCGCCCGTATTCATTACCAGCTCATGCTCATGCAATTGACTGGAGGCGCATCCGCATCTAAGCCCTAAACCACCCCCAAAATACTCCGGCCTCAAAGCTCTACGGCGTAATGTACGTCGACAGCCCTGCTCTTGTGTCCCTCTACCGTACTCCCCCGTACTGATTTGCGCATAGCGGCATACCTGCAGAAGCAACTACAGCCAGCCAGCCAGCCGGCGACGGGTCCCCCTCCCACTCCCACGCGCGCCCACTCTCACCTCTCTTTTGCCAGAGTGATAGTCTTCCGAACTCGGTTCCAGAGGCACCCAGCGCGCAGAGACAGCAAGCAAGAACCGGCCCTGACCATCGCGAACCTCCTCCAACGGTTGTAATCCTGCATTAGTCCCCTTCCCTCCCGGCCTGGATCCCGATCTGGCTGGTGCTGTTGCGAAAAAGAAGGCGTTTGCTGAGAGGATCTACGCTCCGCGCTGCATTACTGCGTGTATACGTGTCGTCCAAGGAAATTCCAGAAAGCCACCTCTAAGCTCTGCACGTATCCGATAAATAAATAGTCGAGATGTCTGCAGCATCAGCGAGTCCCCCGAAAGAAGATGCTGTGGCATCACCCGAAAACGATGCAATGAACGACCCTACTGACCCACACGCCGCTGGACTTGGCTACGAATTCGAAGTTAAGGAACAGGATAGGTGGCTCCCAATAGCAAATGGTTAGTCTTGAGCATCTTCCTTCTGATTTGTGCACAGTCTCGTTCTCCGCACCGTGAAGCTCTCAAGTGGAATCGCTTCTCATTCTCGTATCTTTGCCCACGCGTGTCCTACACGTCGACCAACCGTTGTCTCTCGGCGCAAACGCTGGAATCTGATTGTGTCACCACCGTCATACTCCTAGCCATGTCCCACAAGTCTCCTTCCCCATCTCCATCTTCTTCATCATCTCCAGAGACGAATCGCACTTCTAAAGGTGGCAAAAGCGATGGGTATCCGGACGCTAACATTCGCAACTTTGCGCCAGTCGCCCGAATTATGAAAACCGCGTTACCAGACAACGCGAAGATAGCCAAAGAGGCGAAAGAATGCATGCAAGAATGCGTGAGCGAGTTTATCTCGTTCATTACTAGTGAAGGTACGACTTGTGACGACCTTGCTGTGGATTATTAGCTTTTACTAACTTGCTATTTCTAGCTTCAGAGAAATGCCATCAAGAAAAGCGAAAGACGGTCAATGGAGAAGATATTCTCTTTGCAATGACCTCACTCGGATTCGAAAATTATGCCGAGGCTCTAAAGATCTATCTGTCGAAATATCGAGAAGTGAGTTTTTCAGACTCGCCATGAGTTGACATGATGTTCCTGTCGTTTGATGACAGCGAATCAAAAACTGACCAATACCATCAGACACAGTCAACAAGAGGCGAACAACGACCTAGCAGCCAAGCAGGTTATGGGGCGACTGGTGCATCGGCCCCAAATGCGGCCTCGTCAGCCTTTGCAGGTGGGGCAGACACCAACAACAATATCCTCGGTGGTCAACAAGCTGAGGGTGGTGATCACGATCCGCCTTATGGAAGCCTCTACGGGGCTCAGAGCGGGCACAATGGTGCCACTGGGGGTGATGGTTATTGAAGGCCTTTGGTGCCAGTATAAAGCAAACCAAAGTGACCAGACGGTGTTACGGCGAGAAACTGATAGGTGATGTTCGGGATCTTTTCTTCGAATGTATTGAGTAGGTGGGAAATACTGGAATTGCACGATGGCACGGATTGGGAAGGATTTGATGTGACACCTGGCAATTGTACATGAAGAACTGACGGGTCTAAAAGTACGGGGTGCTTTTTGTTTTCTAGATTTCTTAGCTCCTCTGAGCATTATTTTAGTCGGCGCGAACTTGCAGCAGATCGACCTGATCATTGCGAGGTAAGAACAGATGTAGGATACACAGTCCAGCAGTATAAGCCAATGTATAACATGAAAGTCATTGCAAATTTCCTCTTATGAGTCTTGATGTCTTTAAGGGAACCTTCCGCTCTCCGTCGGGAAACTTTGATGCGAGGGTTCGAAGCACAATGATAGTATGCAGCACTGCGAGTGTTATATTCTATCCGAATGTAAATCACGTCAGTAACAGCATAAGTGAGCAAATTGCCGAGACATAACGCAATATTTTTAAGAACTCGTCAAACTTGCACTTAGTGTAGAAGTTCCATTTAAAACAAGTGCGTTTCTCACCAACGGATTAATAGTAAAAGGTTATGAGTTCGAAGTTGAATTTGAGTTTCGGGTCTAGCCTAAGGCGCCCAGTGTTTTGCTGTGGAGAACCTAGTCCCCTAAAGCTGACTAAAAGTGGATGACCTACGAAGGCTGCAGAGGAATTTCATTTTAGAAATTCGCACACGACACCCACGACTGCTGCAACCAGCGACAACGACGGCACCACACTTATCTCGTTCAAAATTTTGCCCAAGCAACACTCAGACTATTCCATGGTCGAACTTATATCTCCCTAAGACCGTGGGAAAACCTATCCGCACCCATGGTTTCGCTCGTCCCCGCAATGCGGCCCTCTACCGCCACAACCTCAAAACCATTAAAGCCACTATTACGACGAGGCACGCTCTCTGGTACCGTAAGGAAATTGGACGATACCGATCTCGATGCCCATCTGATTTCGCATCCACCAAGTCCCAGCAAACGGGCTCGTGTCACATTTAAAGATGATGTTGAAGAAAAGGTCATGGTCCAGTATGCTGTGAAAGGTCGTAACTTAGAGGTGATACGGACCGAAGTTCGACGGGCCCTCGAAAATCACGCGCGAGGTGATAGCGTTGGATTCGACGTTATTAAGGAGGTATTCGCGAAGAGGAGGGAAGACGATGATGATGAAGACGAGGAGGATGAGGAGGAGTCGCAAAAGAGGGCTGATATCAGGGCATATGTCGTTGCACTCACAAACTACACTTCGCAGCTGAATAAAAGTTGCTCTGCACTGGTACAAGCAGTATTGAGATGTGAATGGTTAGGCAGAGACGAATCGTTCGTCAAATCCTTCGTACAGTTCCTGGGAAGTCTGGCAAGCTCACAAGGCTCCTATGTTGGGACTGTACTGGAGATGCTAGTGACGAACTTCTATGGAGGTAAGTCCCCTTTTTCATACACAGTCTTTTAAGGGCTCACATTTAATACGTTCCAGTGCGATTTTCCAGCGGCCGACTTCCTGGTTATCCTGACGTAAATCGAGATCAACTGTACTCCAGAGTTCACGTTGCTATCAAGTACTTACTCCGCCTCATCCCATCCGCCAGCGGCATACTCTCCCCAATCATATCGAAGAAGTTCCCCGACTCCGAAGAATCAAAGAAAATTCATGTCACTTACATCGAGAACCTCCTTCGACTCATTGAATACGCGCCTGAGTTGGCGTCCGATGTTTTCTCCTTGATTACCGATAGAGTTGTCAAGATCGATGTTGAGATGCAACTTAGCCTGGACGATATCGATAATGATGTTGCGGTCGCGGTTGTAGAAGCACTGAGCATGAATCAGAAGGTGATTGAGGATGTAAGAGACGAAGAGTCCGATAGTGATGCCGCTTCAGTCACCAGCGAGGAAGGGGTATACACCGATGCTAGCAGGATTAAGCAGGTTCAGGCCAATGTTGAGAAGATGGATGCGATACTGGATATCCTGTTCGGAACTTACAGCCATAAATTCGCAGATCCAAATAGTATCGAAGCTGCTTCGATGTTCGAGACCCTCTTATCACATTTTGCGAATATTATCCTCCCCACGTATCGATCGCGACACACGCAATTCTTACTTTTTCACTTCGCACAAACAGCCGACCATTTCGTAGATCAGTTCGCAGGTACATGTGTTCAATTAGCCTTCGAACCAGGTCGACCTGCAATTCTCAGACAATCCGCGTCGTCTTATCTTGCAAGCTTTGTGGTACGTGGAAAGCATGTCGAGCCTCACGTTGTACGGACAGTATTCGAGCTGATCGGCACCAACTTGGAGCATATTCGATTAGAGAACGAACTCACATGCCGTGGTCCCGATCTGAAGAGATATGGAACATTTTATGCTATGACACAAGCACTCCTCTACATCTTCTGCTTTAGATGGCGAGATCTTCTTGCTTCTCCTCTGGATGAAGAAGATGATGAGGAGTTTTCCACGCACGATCTGGAATGGACAGATGGGATCAAAGACACGCTAAATAGCGTCATCTACTCCAAGCTCAACCCTCTCAAGGTGTGCTCGCCTGTTATTGTGGCTGAATTCGCCAAGATCGCCAGACATCTTGGTTTCATGTACGTCTACTCCCTATTGGAAACAAACAAACGGATACGATTGAGCCAGTTTTCCTCTGCGGGGACCGCAGCACTTAGGGATGTGGGACAACTCAATAACAACGAAAGCTGGCATCAACTGGAAGCCCACTTTCCATTCGACCCATACCAATTACCGATAAGCAAACGTTGGGTTGAAGATGATTATGTACAGTGGCAACCAGTGCCAGGATTGGAACCCGAGGAAGATGACGACTCTGAAGACGACGATGACGAAGAAGTAGAAGTGGACGAAGATACTGCCACCGATGAAGATAACGAATAAATCCTACAAACGAACACGAATAGACCATCGTCTAGAAATTTACGGCCTATTATTTGCGTTTGGCGTTTGCTGGGAAGGGGACCGGGGACATACTCTGGTACATAGCGAGGTCCGCAAAAGAGATATGAGGAGTTTGCATTCTTGGTCTCATAAAAATGGGAAAAGCGGGCGCTGAGGATTCATGCTATAATTTCGGACTCAAAATAGCATCGGAGGCGTTTGTTTATATGTGGCATATACTTTGTTTTTCACAGGTTTATGTGAATATTGTGGTGGAGTGGAGATGGAAATTTGGGGGAAGGCGGTTCCCAGCGAGAGAGAAGACCTTTGGTAGAATCGTGGCTTTTGCTTTTTGCTCATAGATTCAATATGTGGCTAGAGCTAGAGATTATACCATACAGCGCAAAATTAGATACTATTTTCAATACTTTGTTTTGACACGAAGTAGACATCGCATATCTTCTGGTTCTCATTATCCCGTCTCTCGCAAACACATATATTGAACGCACCAAACATTCTATCCCCTCCAGCAGCTAAATACGGTTGGTGCTCCTGGTCGCTTCAGTACACAATGTATTGCGCAATATATTCTTAGCGGAGCCAGTAAATAGTGTCTTCTAACTATATCTAGGCATTTTTGGGCCTATGCCACGCCTGTAAGCCTACTAATCTACAAGTCCTGGGTGCACCTTTTAAAGATGTATTCAACTGCTGGTGGTGGGGAGGGGATATATTGACTTGATCAATGGATTTCTTCTGTCCCTTGTGTATGTCCTCACGCCTTCGATTTTCTTCCCTACTCTATACAATTCGACAGGCCGGCGGAGTCGCAAGAGCACATCAGCTATCGAGCAATTGCACATTCTACGTCCGATGCAAAATATTTGACCCAGTAATTTCTCGTTAAACATAGAAATTCTCAGCCTTTGAAGCGCATGTTATCGCCATTCACGCATGGACTTTCCAGGCTTCGTCTTCTGATGAACCAGGTAAATGGCAATATTCAGGCTACCTTCTCGTGTATTGTCGCTGTGGATGTTACATGATCTTGCAGTCCAAACAGAGGTTACGAATCATCAGTTGCTCTACGCTGTTGAGAGATACAGGGTATGATACCAATTTCATTAAATAGCGATTTCATAACCACTACTACTTATTTCGTCCACCAAGAGCATCCTCCAATTACTATCTTCTAGCACCGATTTCAAATCCGGGCTCTAGGATCCAGCTTCATCACTCTACAATTCCACACTATTCCCTTAGCAAATTCAGCTCCACGACATCTGACTTCGCAAAATCACCAGTGAAGCGACCGTCATATCGAATGACTTAAGAATCTTGGGGCGTAGATGTTCTTGCAAAAACTCGTGTGCTTAAATTGTGGTGGTATATTGGCTTGATGGTATCTTGTTCTTACTTCTCCTTCCGGCAGATTTTGGTGTCGTGTGGTCGATTGGTCAGAACGGTGACCATGCTTTGTTAGATAAGGTCGTACGCGCAATGCTCGCTGTAAGACATGGAAATGATGGCTTGAGATAAAAACGCTGAGTTCTCCGTTGTTTATGGTTTGTAGGAAGCAAAAATCAGGAGTAATAAAATCGGCAGCGGCTCGTTAAGCCATTCCAGGTGTGTCTTGGATCATGAGACTAAGCTCTTGCATCCCCTCCAAGCTCAAGCTCAATGTGTAATGAGCAGAGTCTTGCAGATACACCAAGTTGACTTGTTTAGGATATGGCTAGAAGCACGCGGGTGCTAAGTGTCATTGCGAAACTCGCGAGGAAAAGCGCGTAGCAAGGACTCAGCACCGGCTTCAAAGGCAATGGTGCCACGCTTACAAGTTCGACCAAAGCTTTAGGAAATTTGGAGATTTTTAAATCAGTCCGTCTGTCCAACTGGCAATGTGACAGCAACCAAGGCAGCGGCGGTGGGAGATACTTACCTCGTATTAAATTCAATCCATCAAGCATGTATTAAGCATTTTAACTAAACTAAAGGTTCATAAAGACACTTCAAGCCCGTATTCCACTTTCTCTACTCAACTTTTTTCGGTTTTCCATACAAAACAGCCAGATGATGGCTCTCCATATCGATCTCGACACTACAGGAAGTGAACATGTCAAACGCAACAGAAACAAGTACAAAACTTCGACGACGACCAACAAGTCAAGACTCCAACCATAACTTTTTATATCTCAACCCCCGTCCGTGAAAGTCAGCAAAGAAAAAGAAAACAAAAGAAACTCAAAACTGCCAAGGCAGTAACGTTGTGCCATGATTAAGTCATTAGACAATCCAAAGTTTTTTTTCTTGGTAAAACTCCTTGGATCCATGGGATTGATGTAGTCCAGATTCCAGTATTCTGTCGTTCAACCGGAAGCGATATATGTGCGACTACAAACGTATTCGATCTGCCCCGACCCGGTTGTCACCGGCTGATCTCTCCTCAGCGTAAAAGGGGAACGTGCAAGATCTCGAATCAAACCTCGGCACGACTATGGGGGTTGAGATGGCAGCCGAGACCTGCTGTTCTGACAAGTGTTCGTGTATCTACGAGAAGAGATGCTTGTGTAGGAGACCAAAAAGTAGATAAGCGAGGTTCCAATCCGCTGCCATGAGTATCATTCTGATATGATCTTGGTCTCCACGGGTCTAAAGATCGCTGTGTTAGTAGCTCTGTGATACGAGTTGCAATCAATCTACTTTACCCAAATGATCTGTCCTGCAAGCTAGACATATAAGACACACACTTATTACGCGGGAATCAAATTCAGACACAAGAACACTTGCCCTTCGACCCTGCAACCCAACGCTCCGTGATCACGCCTTTGCCTCCCACATCATAGACATAGACTTTATGATAGACGGCCATAGCACATCGCCTATAGATCCAATGTATCATGGCACTTCCGACCATAGCAGTCCATACTGTCCAAGGGAAGACTGCTAACAGTAAGATATTGGCACTGATACCCCAAGCAAGACAGAAAATTGTTGCAGCAGTGATGGAGAGAATGAAAATTGGTGCCTGGAATCTGTCTTTAGTTTGCCGTCTGTATGTGAACGAAGTGATTGCGCAGCCTTGCCCAACACAAGCTATAATTAATCCTACTGGGGATGGATCGAAAATGAAGGTGAAATATCCCGGATCGAAAGCAAGTTTGGATGACGCTGCGTCTCCGGAATTTTTGAGCTGCTCAACTTTGTCAACAGAATTCTTTCAGCTGAGGGAGTATAAGCTAACTCGAATCTCGTTATGCAATGTATATGATGTCGTTATCAAGGAGAAAAACGCTACAATGAGAAGTTCCCAGCAGGTTGCGAGCCTCTGTGGAGAGCAATGCCTGACTATGAAATCGTCCGGACTTTTTGAAGGTGTCCGTTCTCTTGTCGATATCTTGCGGTAAATGCACAATTGATTGCAAATCTGTTGTTCCTTATTCTCGGCCTGGAGTTGTATTCCCATCGTAACAACGTTTATTGGGACGAAATAGTATGCAACTTGAGCAACGAACTGGCGGTGAAATACACTCAATCGAATGAGCAACAAGCTGTGTGCACAAGGTAGAAGAGGAAACTGTCATTCGAATTACCTCCAACCGAGGCCATCTTCCTAGATAAGGAACAAAGCAACAAGGCTGGGTGATATTGAAGGTTGTTACCAGGGTTACTATATCTTGATGAGTGCCCGAAGGTGCCCAGAGATAGGTAAACCGACAGTAGCATGTTAATGAATGTAGATTTCGCACCGAATCTCGATCATCAGATCCATATTGGCGTTAGGCCGTGACTGCTTGTTCTAACACTGCCTTGCCGTCTGACTGCTGCAGCCCCTTTTGCTCACCGAAAGAGCGACTTGCGATTGGGTGGTTTAGCGAATCGTCTGTAACCACCTCTCAAGGCAGAGCAAGGCAAAAACGAGGCTTTCCCATGGGCAAACTTCACCGAGCTCCTCAGAAGACCTAGGTATCCCAATCATGGTCAGTTCAGACGTGTGGGGTACAGGCGTGGGGTTGCGGTCTTGTGTAATACGTTCTCTGAGTGTAAGGGTCCGACGCCACTTGGTATTGGGAAGCGAATAGGTTGAGTTGCGTGGCCATAACTTTGCTAGTACGGGCTGACCAGCCGTGAAATATCACTGCATTGATACCCAATGGCTGTACTGGCGTTACACTTCGTCCAGCCTGGGCAGTTCCGTGAACAGGGCATGATAATGACTACTTGAATCAGATCGGCATCCCCCAGAAATGCTCTGCCCGCTTCGTGCGATTCTGGTTTTTGTTTCAAAACTCAACTTCGATTTTAAGGAATCGGCTCAATCGACAGAAGTTTAAACCAAAGTGTTTTTCTCCAGATAGAACAGCAATTCCGAGAATGTCAATCATCGCGGATTGCATCCTCAAAACCTGCCGGGCAGCTAAAAATATTGCTTGCAAGATCCTATCAAACACGAAATCAGCCTTCCTCGAGAACGCCATAGTGAACACAAGCAACGAAAAAATGCAACAATCTCTAGTCAAGATTTCCGGCGCCATGTTAGGCTTTGGGTATCTGGCGCCGATACTCTACTTAAATGAGAAGCCGAAATACTATCATTTGTATACCTTCCCCGCTCAAAGCTTGAACTAGCACTGATGGATATAATCTCAGTGTAGTTATTATGTATGCTCTTTTAGCAATAATACTCGCTTTTCACCAGCGAGAGAAATTTGCAGAGTATACTCAGAATCAATCTGTGGGTTTTCCTAATGCTGATGGCGTCTAGAAATGAGAGTCGGCTTTCAACCCCGTTAAGGACCCTTTTCATCATCGCTTTCGCGGGTGCAGAGATATCATCTCTTGGAATGTTGACAGCCGGATTTTACCCAACTTTGCCGGAATGGCTGCTATCGTACATACCATTTCCGGCTGGATTAGTGCTTGCAGCAATCTCTCTTCATCACCCATCCCTAGGCGTCCTAAATACTTCCCCTTTACATGAGGACATAAATGAGCAATACTGTGTTCATACCTTTTCGGATACTCATTCCATTGGACAGGAAATATCGATTGCCCAAGGAAATGTCCGTGTCCAGGAATGGTTCTTCCAAGCTCCATGGAACCCTCTACTGGTGGCGCATATGGACCCTTTTCGTGAAGATACTACCCGTAGAGTTCCAAGCTCTGCGGGTAGTCTTAGTAGCAATGATGGAGACGGCAAGTCTGCAAACTCAAGTACCGCTTCGGACGATTCTGAGAGTCAGTCGGTTTGACCAGCAACCGGTCTTTTCGAGTGATGGCCCGTACTCGAAAGTCTTGTACCACATAATGGGTCGGATTATCATGCTCCTGTCGTCCATTTCAGAGCATATCTCCATCAGATTGCTCTGGTATTCCCATGGATGGTTTGTTAGTGCTCAGATGATCATACGTTACCAATGAATTCTTTGGTTTTCAGTCTGCCGGATACACAGAAACGGCTTTCGACTTTACGAAACGTTATTCCCAGAAAACAACTTCCTAGCACCTGAGGATACCACAGGACTTTCTGCTCCACGTTCTACATGGCACCTGGATACTCGTGTAGCCAACACTTGAGGACTGATAAGTAAATATTTTACAAAAGGTAACCACATTCTTGGAATATATACCAGGCAGATCCACCGTGGCCGACAGCTAATGAGTACCAGTCTCAAGTAGCGGGAAATGAGTCCAAGAGGCCGGCTCACCAGAATACAGGACTCCCAAACCAAGGGGGATCAATCCAGGAGACAGAAATACCAGGGTAGTGATAACCCTCAAAACACCAGGCGAGGTTGGTAAGAGTTTGGGAGATTGAACAATGCTCCCCCACATCTCCAGAGGCTCCACCGGCAATCAACGTCCGGAACCATCAGTGCATCGCACATTACTCCTGTACAGTGCTTCAAGTTGGATCGACAGAATGAGACGCCAAGAAAAATACCATTAAGCTTTTGAACATATCAAGAGCTGGACACATCCCGCATCGCATTTGACCGCAAAGCAGAGTCATTGCTGGACGACCACTTGAAGTCAACGACCACATACCTCCGAAGTGCTTGGCCATTTGTTCCACGGTTGTTTGAGAATTTGGGATTTGACCACGAAAGAGCTTTTGCGCGAATATTGGAGTTCTAAGCCACTGAAGGATTTCATATCATCCTTCGAACCGAGTTCCCTTTTGTCGGATAGTGTGTGGTGGCCCATGCGATTACTATTCCCTGTGGAGCGTTCTTGGTCCTTGGACGTCTGGATGACGCAACGAAGTAAGAGATGAGTGGCCCATTGTTTTCGACAGATACCTTTATGGTGGTATCTTTATATTTTCCTCGTCCATGTATCATCAGCAAAATTGTTATATTTGCCGCGCAAGCGAAGGAGGTTGTTTTGTGCATTTACCCGATTTCTCGAGTCTCGAGGTCAGCTCTATATCATTTCGATCATCTCAAGGACACTGGGTTCTTTATCTTCGCTGGGAGAGTTTGTGCGGTTGCCGCAGTGCTTCTTGGATGTGTCAAGGACATTCAAATGAAGTCCACGCCTCAGCATCGTGTAGTTACAAATGGCGGAGGAACATGGTCGACGTCATGTACTCTTGTGGTTACGGTACTCAATTCTATGTCTTGTTATTGTGGGGGATAACAATGTGCGTGTAATTATACGCACCTATTTCAGCTTATGTAATATTGGAGGAGAAAAGGTGATGGAGTCGTCAACGACATAACGACGAGACTTGTACATATTTTGAAGGACTTTAGTTTTCAAGCTGGGGTTGACTGTTTCGATAATCGATGTTCGAAGAATAATGATGATGGATGTTGGAGGTTGCAAGTTGCAGCGAGGAAGGAGGAAGCGCACTGGGGGAAGAAGTCAAAGGCCCGCTTTTTAAGCTAAATCTATTGGCTGCTGTCACTGGACGCCCAACTCATACAATTCCTGTACATAAATCGGATTGAACATCACCCCTAAATATCACAATGAATTAAAACTGTGAAGGAACGGTTTTTTCATGCTCCAAATTTCTGCCATCAGCAAAATAATCAATTCAGCAACCCAACTCCCACGGACTCAAGAAAAGCCTACTTTTCTTCATCCAATATGTTTCCGTCAATACAAAAGAGGTATCATGATCTATCCTATCTCGCTCTCGCCTTCTTAAAATCACCGACCGGGTAGAACAAAGCTATATCCTAAGTAACCACAGCTCGGGATGGAATTAACAACTCTAAAATACACCCAAGAAATAAAGATTAGACCACAGTCTCCTGATCACCAAAAACAACCTCATCTCTATTTTCGACATTGGCAATAGCACTCTGGAGCGCGCTCGTAAGATCAACGTGGAAGAGGGGTCTGTTAAGACCAGTGACGACCACCGCCGCACGTCTGAATGCAGAAGCCTTTGCCGTACCCTTGATATCAGATGAAGAGGATAAGGAGTCAGAGTCTTTGGCGATGCCATGTGAGTTGCTGCGTTGGGCTGCCGCCTCCTTCTCGTTTGCATCCGCAGCGGCGGCGGCCGAATCCGCACCACCAAGTTCCGAGATGCTGAAAATTGGCTTCCAGCGTGTAATCTGACCTTGATCTCCTGCGACGGTTGGGTAACCGAAGCCAGCAGCAACAAGTGCACGCTTAGTCCAGCGATTGTTGATGTTTGTGAAATGCCAGTCAACGATGGAGGGCGCGGTATATTTGTCGAGCTGGTTGCGAACATCAATGAGTTGTTGGACCGAAGTGATATCGACATTGTTGACGGCACTGAAATCGAGGATGACGGCTTTGAGGGTCGGTCGGTCGAGGTGAGCATCATCGGCTTTGCCGCGACGTGGTCCTGGATCGTTCCATGGGCGGTCACCACGTCTCTTCCAGAAGTTAGGATTGGTACGTCTGGTGCGTGCAAAGATGGCATTGGTGAGCTGATCAAGGTAGTGGTTGGCGTTGGGGTAGTTGAAACCTTCGGAGAATCGATAAATATAGATTCCTGGATATGGTTCTTGCACGTCGATCTCAGGGTTAGATCCATCGGCGTGGTCAATTGGCAGGAAAATATTTCGGGCCAGAGCATCCTCGTGCGCCCCGCCTGACTTGGTGAAAGTTCCGTTGTCGTGAGGCGAGGCGGTAGTCCCGACAACACGATCCCCATTGAAAGAATGAATCTTGACCTTTCCGAGGAAATTTCCTTTAGCTTTCATCAACCTGAACATTAAAATCGCAAACGAGGCAGCGATTGTGGTGTAGATGCCATTCTCGATGTTGCTGAAAATTGTAACAAAGACACCGGCGAAGAAGATTGGAACCTCGAGAGGTGAAACACGCCAAAATTGGTAGACGGTGTTTGGTGGAGTGATCAAATCACCGACTGCGTGGATAATGACTGCAGACAACGCAGCGCTTGGGATATAGAAGAAAACAGCTGGAAGTGCGTAGATAGCGAGGAGGACGATGAGCGCAGTAATGACACCGGCGAAGGGCGTTCGAACGCCCGCCTTGGACTTGATGGCAGTTCGGGAGAAAGAACCCGTTGCTGGATACCCTCCGAGAAATGGGCCAAGAATATTGGTGACACCGATAGCGACCATCTCCTGCGATGGGTTAATGACATAGTTGTTGACACGGCCAAAAGATTTCGAAATAGCGATGTGCTCAATTAGAAGGACAATGACGGTCGCGGGAAGATCGCTGGCGAAGATACCGATGATTTCGGAGTTGACTGTCGGCACAGCAGCCTGCTGGAATCCTATTTTCTTGTTAGCGCATGTAACCATAAACAAGAGGCTCATGCTAACCTCGTGGCACAGTCTTCAGAATTTTGAAAAGTGGCGTCTTGCGGTGATTTCGGTTTACCAACCAACTTATCATCGTGTAGAGTAAAATGACGAATGCTGTACGGAGGGTCGAAATGAAGAAGAAAGTCTTCTGGCGTGCGGGATTTTTCTTAGCTGCAAAACTGCATGCGAATCTGATCAAGTACAACATGGTAAGAGCAGAAAGACCCATTGCTGCATCCAGTTTCGTTCTTGGAAGGCCCTTCAGTGTGTTGATAACGACCTTGTAAGTAGCTTCTCTGTTGCTGAACCCAGTAATCCCCATCAATGCAGGTGTCTGACCAACGGCAATGTTGATAGCTGAACCGGTCATGAAGGCAGAAATTGAGACAAGGGGAATGAGGTCGACGATCCAACCACATCTGACCAGCCCGATGAAGGTTATGATACATCCTGCAATAACCGCCAGGCAGGAAGCAATGATATGACCTGGAATCTTTGGATGCGTCTTTGCAGCCTCTGTGACAATCTCACCGACTAGAGAAGACATAACAGCAACGGGCTATTCACTAGTTAAATATTGCACCATCGATTGCGCCATAGGATTTCAAACTTACACCAATAGTGATGTCCTTGGATGTAGCAAAGAACCAATAAATTAAGACACCCATGAAGGAGGAGTAAAGACCATATTGTGGTGGCAAGCCAGCCAAACCGGCATAGGCCATACCCTGAGGGACAACAACGGCACCAATCGTGATTCCTGTATTATTGTCAGCAAACCAAATAAATGATTTGACGTTTCGAGCGTCTTACCAGCGACGAGATCACCAGCGAGCCATTGAAGATTGTAAGCACCAATCCAGTGAAGGAACGGAAATAGAGAGTAGCAGTATTCGCGAAGTTCTTGTCCGTTAGGAAAGGTCTCGCGAGCCCATTCTAGACTCGTTGGTTCTTCTTCGACATATGTTCCAGCGGTCTGTGAAGAGAAGACTGATTCCCCACGAAGAATCTCCTCGCTCAATTCATTACGGTAGTTCAACTTGATGCCCAAGCCTTTGGCAAGGCCGTGGCCAATCTTAGTAGCGGACATGACGAAGTCCAATACAAGAGACGATTGTCGAATGTCGTTGGCGAGAAGCTGTCGTCGAGTTAGGACACTGCCTTTGTGTTCGGCGTCGACAGGGTGTTCTGCAGGTCGTGCTTCAAACTGCTGGTGTAGCGGGGAGCACGAGGCTCATATACTCGAGTGACCCTCGTCTAGACCCAGAGAACCGGAGCCGTGGCCGCGGGAAAGAAACCTTCACAGGCGGCTACAGAGCTAGCTCGCGTGGTGAGATCCTCTTTCCTTGGTGCCCAGGAATGGAAGAAAAGCAAAAAGGGTCTGATAGCAAGTCAGAAGCCGTAAGCAGAGTCGATCCAAATGAGATGAACGTGGAGGAGAATGAAGTGTGGCAGCAAAATACTCAAAGGTCTAGGATTGAAGACGCCACCAATAGATTGCGTGCTTGAGGGGGCCGATGTGATTTGCGAGAGTGACCAGGGTATCGCGGGGGAGCAGAACAAGAAGCAGACAAGCAAAAGAAGCACCTTGACAGCCGCGCAAAGCTGAAGCTTTATTGCGCCACGGGAATAGACCGTGAAGATGTGATACGAAGCTCAAAGTAGGTGAGATGTGACGAATGGGGAGAGTGTGATAGTCGAGGGAAGGAAATTGATCATTGTCCTGCTTCTCTAAGAGACAACACTAGCTGTCCTCGATAAGGTTCTTATGCAGGCCTAGCGTCGAGCAGGTCATGAAGCCGGGTTCAAGCAAAAGATGGTAATTGGCAGCTGGTGTATGGGAAAGAGTACATGCTTGCTATTCTCAGATCCGTGAGGCAAATGTCATGGTCTAGATTGGATAAAGAAGGGATTCTCACATGGGTAGCAAGGCTGTTCCCGTCTGACGGAATTGGGGTTTCGGCTTCTCCTGCAAGGCTGCTGAGTAGTTCTCTGATAGACTCCGAAGTGTTGGTGCCAAGCGAAGTGTTTGATGAACTTTGTTGAGATCTGGGCCTGGAGGCTCAAGACCAAATCTAACGACGGGTCTTGTGATACTGAAGGTCGAGTGAAACAAGAACGAGGCAGGCGGCGAGCGGCGGCTGGAAATATGTGGCAGCTGAACGATGAGGGTTCACAGCATATGTCGACGACAATAACAGGTGAATATTGGATTCAGGCGGATGAAGACTGTGGGACTTATAGAGCCCTGGCGTATGGTCTTTCGGCCAAAATGGGATACAATAGACAATCTGAGCAGTAGATCAGGGGCTCTTTCAGTCGCGTACCCAGCACCGTAGGCAATATATCAACAGCGATAATGATGATGACAATGAATCCTCGATATGGGAATGGGACTCTGAAGAAATGCTCACGGGGGCTTAAAGCCGCGTCCAATTCTCCTAGCTCCTGGGTTGTTAAGCGCACTTACCTGCTGGGCCCAGCTGGCGACTTCGGACGATGACGAAGCCATGAATAGCATCGCTTTAGAGCCGTCTGGAAAGAGGCCGGTATGGACGAGTATGGGAGGTTGTACCCGCACCGAAGAACGATGAACACAACATGCAGTCGGCGCTGGTCGCTTGATGGACCTGGTGTGGGGCGACCGCCAGGGGCCGAGAGATTCGCGATTGGCCTCCGAGCACGCCATAGCCGGAGGACGCCACTGGTATCTTCTTGTTCTCAGAGGAGTGGATGTGACTATTTTGAAGCTGTAAGGGCTTTGCACATTATTATGACCCTACCTTGGAAGGGATCTTGCTGATTCCCAAGAGTCAAGACTCTCTTTCCACGGAGAAGCTGTCTTCGGCGTGGCCTTGCCAAGTTGTACCGCTGGAAACTATTACACAACGGGAAATATCCAACTTCATTCATCTGCCATTGTCAACTGCCCGAGATGATCGATTACCGAGGTTTCCCCGTATCAGTATCAAAATACAAGTAGAGGTAGAGGAGACGAGAGAACCTATTAATTATTTGGTGAAATTATTGACGTAGCCTTTCACAGGAGTTTCGCTTTATTACTTTTCCGATACGAGGATAGTTTCTACCGCACTCGCAATTGTGTGAAGTCCGACTTGCCCGACTTCCTTCTAACGCCATTTCTCTTCTTTCTAAAGCCTCTCATGGACGTTCCAAGGCCCTTCTAGTGTATTATCCGTTTGTCCAGCTAAGATCAACTAAAAGTCTCTTCAGATCTCAACCGTCAGAACCCTTCCTTTTTCTAAGAACTTATTATTTGAGACCCCACTTAGTACAGTATCCTTGAAGACGTCACGGTAATTAGAACTGGGATATCCCGCACCCGCAGCTTCAAGCGGGGAGCACAGCCCAATGAAGAGGCTAACCGATGATGAAATATGCACCAGAAAAGACCTTTTCGCACGACATTTCGGACCACTCATCGTCCCTCTGTCACCACGGAGCATCCGTAAGGCTGGCCTGCTCCAATTCTGGCTTCATGTTCTGCAACTGTCAACTTCTATAGCTGCAGATGGTGTTTTCTTTGTGAAAGGATTCGCAAATGAATCTTTAGATTATTTCTCCGCGCTCTCACGACGATGGATGAGTCTGGATCAGGAGTCTTGTTGACCTAGACTTTGATGAAAGAAATTGAGACTCATTAGACATCACGATGTTGACGATCAGGATGGTGAAATCCTCAATAGAGATGACGATTTGAGAGACAAGACAATTCCCTTGTCGCCACAAAGTCACAGCAAGAGGAGATCTCCTCAAAGGGCTCAGTTGATGGGGGTCACTTTACGCTATTAACAACAGAAATGCCACCGTTGAGGAGCCGTGAGACGTGGAGGTTCAAATTGGAGGTTATTGGAGTCAGAGCGGCCCTTTCAGCTGACAGTGAAATTGATGTATTGACAATGATTCGCTTTGCTGTTGAAGGTAGTGGAAATTGGGCAACGAGTTTGAACATTGACAATATCGAGTAGTGCTTTGGTAATGACCACTGCTATACCAGAGTTCAAGCATTCCTTGATTGCCCAACCTCAGACGAGCTTTTGCCTTCATACCTAGGTAGGTCTCCATTGTTCGACTTATACAACTAACCACCATTCTCGAACTCAGCAACTAGAATCAACTCAGTAGACTATTCGAATACGGCGTAACTGTGAGTATTACAAAATCCACAGCCAATGCAGGACGTAATCACATGTCTGAGTCACGTGACAATAAATCGTGCAGACCAAATGCTCTAGACACTGTACAATGTCTATAGATGCGAACAATATTTCCCTATCTCTGCGACTTATTCTTCAAGACGTTGTTCGTTGTGTGAACATGAGTAGTCGTGACTCTGCAAATCCACTCAAACGCGAGCGCGGGGCTGGGCTAGCAGTCGCGTAAAGCTAACATCGTCAAAATACGGTCAAAAGCTATGGCTGACAATTTTGTTAGACAGAGCATCTTGAACGAAAGACAATATTCACTTAAACATTTGCACACTACCTGATGCAGCACTCAATTATTTGCTTCTCCTTATAGCGTCTCTTGCGCAACTATGTCTACCTCACCTTTAAAAGAAAGCGTTATCCCCAAACTTCCCCCACCAACCCCAGCTTCATTGCTGGACCCTCCGAGTCCAAGAACCCATCGCGCGCTGAGAAGGCTTCAATCCGCACACTCACTAGGCCAATCAAATTCCCAGCCATCTCTTATATCTCAACAACACAAGCAAGCGATCCAGGCGAATCAAACAACGTCCGATAACTCTTCAATCCCACAACACTCCCGAGGAAGATCTAATAGCGATGCGACAAACATGATGCCTCCAAATTTGGGCGCCGCTGGTAGACGGCCCATAACCAGCAGGAGACCGGTTGCGGCAGATGCTTTGTCCTTGGATCGATTGATTAGAGATGGTCCGCCAGATGGTGATTTGGTTGGCGCATTGGAAAGTGTACGGCTGAAGGTGCTTGGGCAAGGTATCAAAAGTGATACAGATGGCATGGTATGACATTTGTTCTCGATTGTGAACTAAACTAATTTTAAATAGTCATCTCTGCGAATATACGTTTGGCTCATCCTCCTCAACGGCCCTGTTCTAAATACCGACGACTACCTTTCCCTCATTCACCGCGGTGCCTCCCCAGCCTACTCCAAAATTCGCAACGATACCTTCCGAACACTGAAAAAAGATCCCCTCTTCAAACGTCGAGTCAGCGAAGCAAGCATAATCCGCCTTCTAAACGCTGTGGCCTGGAAACTGCATGACGCCAAAGAAGAGCGCGCGGAGAATTTAAGGCAGTTGACAGGTGGAAATATTTCCGAAGCTTCCAGCCCCGAGCTCTCTACTCCTTCAAGGTCCAGAAATCGAGCTCTTACGTTGACAACTGAGGGTTCTGATGCTGGAGGCTCGGAGCCATCTATTTACGTCCAAGGAATGAATGTCATAGCTGCCCCATTTCTGTACGCAGCACGCAGTGAAACCGAAGCATTCGCAGCCTTTTACCGCTTAATCACAAACGAATGTCCTGGTTACGTCCGAAGTGCTATGGATGGAGTTCACAAAGGGCTTGCGCTAGTCGATAAGGTGCTTGCGATTGTAGACCCGAAACTAAGCATGTATCTCATTGGGAAGGGGATGAGTGCCAAGATCTACGCATTTGCTTCAGTCACTACGCTGTGTGCTTGTACACCACCGCTACCACAGGTGCTGAGAGTCTGGGATTTCTTATTTGCATACGGTGTGCACTTGAATCTCTTGTGTATTGTTGCACAGCTTGTTATTTTGAGGAATTCTATTTTGAGTTCGCCAAGGTAATTTTCTTCATTATCATACCACCTTTTGCTCTTGCTGACAATGTTGATTTTAGTCCTACAAAGATCCTCAGGCAGTTTCCACCTATAACGGCTGAGACCGTTATTGAAGTTACGCTGAGCATTGTGAAGAAGATTCCAGATGATGTGTTTGCGGAGATTGTGACACATGCCAAGTAGCGGTTTATAGTTCTCAATTGGATTCGAAAATTTGTATTTTAGGGCATTGGGTTGGTTGCATGGATTGGCGTTTCGAGCGGAGGGGTTACGAGTTCTGTTTTCGAAGAAATAGCAGGAACTTTGGGTGGTTGGGCGCACTGCGGGTTACGCATGATTGTTATGATTTCATGAATCAGGATTAATGAGGCGGTCAAAATTGTTGAACGATTGGAATCTAGGTAACGACGGTTCTTGGAAATTAAAGTAGTTCGATATTCCTCCATTCTGCTGTTAACCCAAAGTCAACTAAATTTGGGTCATAAAATGAATTAAAACAGAGCTAGACATCAAGCTTCAAACATCCTCAGCTGATGGTGAATTGAAATCCCCTCTAAACGATAAATAGCACTAATTTATCATATCTCTTGTCATGATTGACAACGATTCTCGAAAGAAATTCTATAAGTCAAAGTTATATCTTGGTATCCAGTTGAGTTTTCACCATTTTTAGATACACTCTAAATTCTTTTCCTGGAGGTTTAGAGTGAAATTAGTAGCTTCTTTTACATCTCTTATATAGAGCACCAAACTCATGGTAAGTTATTTTCAAGAGAAGTTTAAGCGATGAATATCCTATCCTTATGTACCTTACTTCCATGTTTCTCACATCCACCACACCAACCCCCATTTTACTCAACCCATTTCACTAACCGATCTTCATCAACCTTACTCCCCTCCACGTGCCCCCAAACTCTTCCAAAACTGGCTCAAACAATTCTCACAACTCACTTTGTATGCACACTTCAGCGACCCTCCCCTGAAAAAGTGGGGACCCCTCACGCGACGTCATACCCCTACCACCCCAACGGACGACTCGGAATCAGCATCTCAACCACGTTCCTGACGATCCCTATTGCCATCGTAGATTCTCCTAGACCCACCTGTACTCCGTACAATGAACCTCTCCTCCATCTCCCATTTTTTGTGTATATAAATGTCCTACCAACTCCTCCCAACCTCCTCCCATCCCCGCCCTCCACGTCCCAGGAGATTCAGTGTCAACAAGCTAATCACCATGGCCTTCACGATCTCGGTTCTCGCGCTAACGTATCTGAGTGTCTCGGTTTGGGCGCAGAGTTTGCAGGATGTGTTGAGAGGTGGAGAGGAGAGGTATAAGTATCCGACTAGTTTTACGCAGGGGATTGTGCCGGTGAGTGAGATGAGAAGGGGGGGTTTGAGGATTTGAGTAAAGGCTGATTTTGAAGTAGAAGGGGATACATTCGCACAATGATTGTAAGTGAGATTTCTGTTTCTTGGCGAGGTGTTGTTTTTGGAAGATTGTGAGGAAAGAGGTTATGAGTGGTGGGATAGGATGAGATGAGATGAGATGAGTGAGCTCGAGTGAGAGTGAAAAGGTGGTAGAGTCTTTGGGTTTCTGAAGAGGATAGATGACTTCAAGTGAAGCATCTAGTGAAATTTGAGAACTGTGGTTTCATATTCTCACCAGTTTCTCAAGAAGAGCAGCGTGTTGATTACCATTGATGGCTCTCATGTGTTTGGTTCTTTGAGGGCGTTGATCTAGAGTTCATTATCTCCAAACATTTCGTCCATTATTCACAATACCAAAAACGTCTCCTACAGTACTCTTCAATATCACCAGATTCTCCTTCCAAACCACCGAAAAAACCACATTTCCACTTCCACCTTTAATTGTCCACCTAAAAAGTAAAGCTCGCTCAAACATCTAACACCTCACAGACTGGCGTCCTCTACCCTTCTACACAGCCCTATCCCAGGGCTGCATCTCAATCGAATCCGACGTCTGGCTCTACAACTCCACCCTCTTCGTCGGCCACGAACAATCCGCTTTAACCACCTCCCGCACCTTCCAATCCCTCTACATTGACCCCATCCTCTCCGTCCTGCAGCGTCAAAACCCATCTTCACCCTTCGTTTCATCACCAACGCACAACGGCGTCTACGACACCGACGCAGGCCAAACCCTCTACCTCTTCGTGGACCTCAAAACATCCGGCCTAGAAACCTGGCCTTACGTCGTCAAAGCCCTGGAACCACTGTTCGTCCCTCTCCCCTATATTTCAAACCTGAAACTAACCCACTCCCCAGCCGAAAAGCAAACTACCTCACAACCCTAAACGGCACCACCCTAACCATCCGCCCCGTCACCGTAATTGGCACGGGCAACACGCCTCTCTCGCTCGTCCAGCCCGTCACTACTCGTGACTACTTCTGGGACGCCCCTATCCCCACGCTGAACAGCACGTTCTCGAACATCACGGCGCTGGTGTCGCCGATTGCGTCGACGTCTTTTACGCAGACGATTGGTCCCGTTTTGGGGACGAGTTTGAATGAGACGCAATTGCTGAAGTTGAGGGCGCAGGTGAAGGTCGCGCATGAGAAGGGAATTAAGGTTAGGTATTGGGATCAGCCGGGGTGGCCGATTGGGACCAGGGATGGGATTGTGAGTTTTTCTTCTATTTCTGAGTCTGATTCAAGCGGGATGTGAGATGGGTTTGAAGTAGGTTGCTAATAGTTGGTTTTTAGTGGAGGACGTTGAGAAGTGAGGGTGTTGATCTAATCAACGCTGATGATCTTGAGGCTGCTGCTGGGAAGAATGGAGATGGAGAGGGATGGTGATTTGAAACGCATATATACCAATAATCATAATAAGCACAGCATAGTAAAACTGAATTTAGAAGACACATATATATGACTCAAAACCAAAAGTTCATGCTCCTAACACTTCATATTTACACACTTGCTAGCCCACAAAACAAAGCGAATCCTCGAGATATCGTGAGATACTACCAACTCCCAGTTTATAACACTCCAGTTTATAACACTCCAATTTATATTACTCGAACAGTCCTTCGCCCCTAACACCCAACCGACATTTTCAGAACAAATGACCTCCCAAATTTCGCAATCACAGATTAAAAACTCGCTAATCATAGCAAATACAATGGTATCGAAGAGATCATCCGGAACGCCGGAAATAGTACAAAAATGAATGTTACAAATGGCCGCGTAAAGGAACGACCATTTTACTGATATGTGGGCAGTCGTTGCTCACAATGGTGTGACGGTTTCTGATGTATGGGCGCTGGGCTCCTCGACTTGTGTTTCATTTGCTTTTGGCTCGTTGTCTTGGGGAATGTCAACATCCATCTTATCGGTCTCGATGTGATCGACTGGCTTTTCAACATTAGCTTCCTTGCCAACTTCAGTCCCGGAAATTCTATCGATGTCCATCTCAGTGCTCTCAGCACCTGGTCCAGTCTCAGAAGGCTTTACCGGCGAGTCTTCAGTAGACTCTTCAATTGGAGCTAGCGCAGATTCGGTGTTGTCGACCTCTGCTGCACTATCTTCAAGAGCTTTCTTCTCTTCAGCTTCTCTCTGCATCTTCTCTTCTTCAGCTTTGGCCTTTTCCTCCTCGGCTTCCTTTCGGATCTTCTCCTCAACCGCCTTTTTAGCCTCAGCAATTTTCTTCTCCATTGCTATTCTCTCTTCCTCGGCTTTTTTTGCTTTTGCTAGAAGTCGCGCTCTTTCTGCCTCAGCAGCTATCCTGGCTTCCTCAACGGCCTTTAACCTTGCTTCTTCAGCCAGTCGAGCCTGTTCGATAGCTTGTTTCACAATTTCAATGGTCTTTTCAGGTTCTCTGAGCATGTTGGCAATCTCAGCACGAAGATTGCGTTCCCATTTAGGCATCTGTTCGCCTTCTGGAAGTTGAGTTCCAGAATTGACTTGAGTATAGTCCCGGTTCATGATAGACCAAACTTCCTCAGTCTTAGCAGCCATCTCCTCTGCAACCTGCTTGCACATCGTGACCAGTCTAGTTTGCACAGCATCGACACTCTCTCTAAACATGGCTGACCTTGTGTCCTCAATATGCTCGCCCATATGGCGTTTCATCCTAACAAGTTGACCTAATCATGTTAGCCATTGTCGCATCTGACTCGAATGGGTTTCGCTTACCAGGTCCAACTTCTGAAGCACAGAACTCATATGCAGATGCAAGCTTGCTTGCAATTGCTGGTGTGAATTCTCGATTGGCATCTCGCTGAATATCGTTGATAAATCCTTTCATTACGCCTACCAAATCCGTAAATGTGGCTTCGTAGTTTCGGAGCTGTTGACCAAGCATCCCCAATCCAGCAACACCAATACCATTTTTGACGCACCAGGTTTCGACTTCCTTGTGGAACGCATATAAAAAGCTTTTGGATTTCTTCGAAAAGTTTTCTAAAACACCTGGAAGTCTGCGACCAAACGCCTTCTCCCAGTTGTTAGCCAAACTTTTCATAATGGGTTCAGCCAGATCCGCGTTCAGATCGTGTAGACCAGTGCCATTCTGAAAGACACCTGATCTGCGACACAGAGCTTTGTAAGTTGACCAGTAGAATCCTCCATTGTTGCGATCTCCCCAGCGCTGAGCTGTGGATGTTGCTTCTGCAGCTACCTGCTGCACCAGAGCTGGGAAATTCGAAAAAATGTTCTCTGCAAGGGTATCTCTCATATCTTGAAGACATTCCTCTACTGTCTTGTCCAAGCTCTTGTCAAGAGTTTGAAGACGAGCTTTCAAGAATCGAGATTCAGCATCGACTTGTGATTTGGTCATATGTAATCCAGTGCCGTCATTCGCAGACCAAAGACTGAGAGAATTTAGCAGTTGATTCAGGTCGGTGAGGAATCTGCGACAGTTGGATGCTCGGCCGCCTTCAGTCAACTTTTTGCAGTGAGCTTGGAGTTGAGGAATCATTGTATCGTCCTTTTCCGGAAAGCCTGGTACATCCGCATCTTTCTTCATTCGACCAGAAAGCTTTTGGTAAGCTCTCGAACCTGAAAATATGTTAGCATCGTAAATCCCAATTACAAATTGTCTGTAGCATGTCCCACAGTAGTGGCAGTTGAAACACGATATTTGTTCGATCAAGTTGACACAAACATCGTCAATGCCATCGAGCAAATAGTGCCTCGTTCAGCTGATGCCGATCTTGTCTACCAGAGATTTGTAAAGAAACAGGATATGTACTTACTAACGCAGAACACCTTCAATGACTTTGCAACTTCAGCATAGTCTCGAATCTCCCTATCTGGGTCAAAGTTGTCTTCATTCTCTTCTTCAGCGTTTTCCATGTCTAATTCCTTCACGCCGTCGGCAAAATCTTGCTGGATGGCTGTAGTGAAATAGTCGTTTCTTGCTTGAATGCAGATAGAATTGACCCTGACCTCAATGACCTTCTTTGCTTTTTCCAACGATGCAATTTCGGCTTTCTTGGCGGCGACCTTGTGATCAATTTCTGTTCGTTCGCGGCGAGCGTTTTTCTTTTGGGTTTTCATATTTTCAAGGACTTTTTGAATATCCTCTTCGGTCAGGGGAGTTCGCTCTTCTTCTTCAGGCTCGTTGTCGCTGTCGTCGCTCTGATCCTCATCCTCATCTTCACTAGAGATGGCTTCTTCTTCCTCGTCGTCGTCGTTGATAAAGCTATCATCATCACTATCCTCAGCTTGCTTCGACTTCTTCTTCTTGCGAGTCTTTTCGGGTTTTGGCGACCGCTTTCTCTTTTTAGTCGAGGGAGCGTATACAGTTTCTTCATCCTTCAGACTTTTCAACAGCTCCTATGTGGAATTTATTAGTGTCAGATTCGTCAAGGAGTAGCATCAAAGCAGTAAACATACCTCGTAAACTTCGGTTTCGTTCTCAGCTGCGTTGATGGTATCCAGATAACAGGATTTTGTTTCGAGGAGATCTTTCACGTCCTGTTGGAGTGTTGCTTGCTCCTCTTCGATTTCATCCTTCCTTGCCCAATCATCACCTACACGATCTTCCAAGTTCAGGGTATCCGCAGCTTCAGTTGTAGATATGTCGTCTGTCTTGGAGCAAATAAATGTCACTCGTGAGTAGGTACCATCAAACTTCAATTGACGCTTGAAAGACTCCCCAAGAAGATTTTTGGCAGCTTTGTCGTCGACCGCTCTGCCAATTGGTGCCTAATTAGTAAGGTTAGTCGAATTACTCCATGAGAGGGAGCCCACATACCACGACCCATAAGCCGGTACATTGTTTAAGATAACCTGCGGCAACCGCAGCTCTGGCAGCATTAGAATCATGTACTCCAGGTAAGTCGACCAAGATTGCCCCAGTGGACAGAGCATCAGCTTTTACGTAAATCCTGACCACCTTAATCAGAGGCCAAAATTCCATCTGCTTCTTCTCGGCCGGAGCATTTTTGTCTTTCTTCTTTTTCGACTTTTCTTTGCTATCCACATAGTACTGTAGAGCGCGGTAAAAGACGTCTGAATCCCTTTTCTCGAGTTTCTGCGTCGTTCCCAGCACGTTTTGCACGGCCTGTTCTTTCATAAGTTGCTCAACACTGCTTTCAGCAAGTTGCTCCTTAGTTTTCAGAGGGTAAACTACGGTGTGTTAATGATGGCCTTCAGAAAATCAGAATTATCTTACCAGCCCGAACTTTTGCCCACGCAACACTGGCTTCAGAATCTGGATTGCCATTATCTCTGGCGAGCTGCACCAATTAGCATAAGTTGATGGGAATTTAGGAGCCAAATAGCTTACAGATCCACTTTCGGTGGTTAATTCGTCTAAAGAAGCTTTCAGGTCCTTTTCCCACTCCTTGGGGTCGATGAATTCAATTTCCGCACGGTATTTTTTCAATGGGTCATCAGAATCATTCCATGACATTTCAGTAACGACGGCCGTGCAAGCTCTCACTATAGGTGGTTAGGATCAATATGCATTGAAAATCAAATATTCGCCAAGTTGGCACGGCGTGAGAAGCGGGAATACATACTGCAGTTGGTTGGTACAAGCCGTTCTTCTTCTAAGAGAGCGTTGATAACAGAACTCTTGCCGGCACCTGTATTGCCTACTACACCGATGACGGTAGGTGTCTGGACTGTGGTGTTCCGTAAGTTTGATAGTTGTTCGAGCCAATGCTTATTATCCTGTGAATTAACCAGGCAGCTTTTAAATGTATCCATTAATGAACCAAGGAGATGCTTGTAATCAGCAACCTTGGCCTCAAGTATTCGGGCGTCGCCGTTTCGATGAGCTTCTGCATCTCTGCGTTTCTTACGCTCCCATGATCCGGCACCGGCTCTTTGTGGTCCATATCCATCTCATCCTCTGCCTCTTCTGTTTTTGGCGCGAAGGCTTTTTCAGGAACTGTTGGTCTTGCAACCTCTAGGGGGAACCAAGGTTGGTGTTCTGTAGTTCAAGTTAGCAGTGATCAAACAATGAATTTTTCACTTCTTACCGGGTTCGTGCTTCACTGCCACCGTTTGAGGTGAAGGCATAACCGCTCTATCCAACGTACTAGCCGCAGGTAGCATATTTAAGAATGGTGAACGGCTAGGAGAAGCCTGTGGCTCGCTCTTGAGCATCGGTTTCTGGTCTGCATGCTTCCGTGGGGTGGAAGTCTGGGGATCAATAGGCTGCAAAGGCATCCTAGGAGGCTGCGTCTGTCGAAGTTTAGTTGTAAACACAACGATATTATCATTGAATTGGTTGAGATTTCGGACTTGAACAGCATCATCGATCTTAGGTACGCCATCATATGCAAATTCGACATCTGTTACCGCCTTTTGCTTGATGTATGCTTGTCGGAGTCTACCAACAGAGTGCCTCTACAGGTTAATTCGAGTCAGTGATTGCATTAGATAGACACCATAATGTCCATGGGTCAATGAAACATTTGGATAGAGGCATTGACGTTCAATGCCTTTAAGGACTGGATTTACTCGTTGATTGGAATTAACTTACTGCCTTGACCTTAAACCACAAGAAATCATCCTTAGTACATGCAGGTTGAAACACATCATGAGGAAGGACTGCAACACCAAAATCTTCTCCAATCTTGTCTGCATCTGGTTTGCCTCGAAGTGAGATTGCACGAATTTCAGCCATCGTCGGGCCAGTTCCAGCCATTGTGTAGGCTTGTGGAATCTTGAAGCCAGACCCGTCACTTTGACGGTCAACCAAGTAAATTGGAACCCCCAAAATTCTAGGTAGTATGGTATTGCCAATCAAGAAAGTGGACTAAGTTAGAGTCTTGTGTCGCGTAAGACATAGACGCTTTGAAAAGATGTATTGGATAATCCAGAAATTTGTTAATACAATCTAAGAAGTGAGGGGAACGTGTTCACGCGATTCCATAATCGCGAAACTTCCACGCGTCACGCTTTGACCAGGGTGTCAATCACCTAAGCTTCGACTGCTTCGGGCTTAGTAAGGGGCTTGCTGACTTTTGGCAACGGTTTTGTTGCACATCGCAATGCTAAGGATTAAGATATTTATCCTCATATCGAGGTTGGGGTTAGGGTTAGGAATCCCTTAATCCTTAGAATTCAGGCTCGTAGTAACAAAATAATTGATCGTCAAATACTAACATCGACGAATTGTTCCACACAATAATGCATATTCCGTCTATTAATCTCAATCTCAGAAAATAATGTAGCCTAAATGTAAACTGTAACTAAATAGTCAGAAGGTCACTGCCCCTTGCTTGTGTTGTGATTACCTTACCAGAAGTTCTATGGCGTAACTAGGTATTAAGACTCTTCTCCGCTCTAGCCTCCGCGAAATCTACAGATATTCCTCCATCACATTGAAGAAGTTCACGTACATACTCAGTTGTAGAAAGAAAACAAGTGCTTATTATATAATCCACGTTCGACTTCTTCCTGCTATTGACAAAATGCTCTAAACGAGAAAATGGCTGCTATACACATTGAGAAGAATCCATAAACAAGAAGGTATCAGCCCACTATCCCGCAATAGAAGAAGAGAAAACCCAAAGCCTGACCCCCAAAATAAATTGGCTAGGAATCCCAAGGAAATGTCCCCTTTGATAGTGAATAAGCAGTTACATGCTTGAAAGCTTAGCATATCATGCACTCGAATATCCCGTGCTGCTGAAAGGCAGAGTAAATCCTTTAGAGCCAGCAACTCTTCCCCAAAATATAATTACCACTGTTCCAAAACTCCATGAAAAACGCTGATGCAGAGTGAATTGTGACGGGACAAACTAAGCAAAAACGCCGGCAAACCGATTTTGCCCCTGGTCATTATTAACATTATAGATAGGTAGATATGTTTGGCTTAGGACTTGTTCCTGCCAAATATGTGGTGTTTGCTTTTCTTTTCCTTTTGTGTCTCGGTCGATAAGCGCGGTTCTGGAATAGCAGTCGCTTCATCATCGTCCTGGTATTTTGGCTTGTAAATCCTACATGGATGTTAACAGGGTTCATTTGCTTTCTTAATGATAATCTTACCAAGAGTTTCCGATCATACTAATACCCTTTGCTTCTGCCTGTCGGTAGAATCGAGCACTCTTCTTGAGGTTCTTCTTACACCCAATTCCTTGAGCATAACAGAAGCCAGTCTCAGCAAGAGCGTCAGCATCGCCCCAAGCTAAAATTTGGTAAGCCTGGAATCACTAAGTAAAAGCATACAAAACTTACATCCAGCAATTTCGAAGCATCGTAATGCAAGAACCTTATCCTGCTCGATTCCCCACCCATTCATGTGACTGACACCCAACTCGTAGATGCTCAATGCGAACTGAGCCTTTCTTGTTTTCGTTTCCAGGGCATCAACAGTTTTCCCATCTTTGATCAAATGCTCATCATCGGCAATCTCCAGGATCGCAGAGTCTGCAGCTTTACGCAACCAAGCGACACCTTCCTTTTGATTCGGTCTACAACCCCATCCATGTCGGCAGGCAAGAGCATAAAGAAGCATTCCAGTAGGGTGATTCTGACGTGCTGCAAGGCGGAGATGATATGTTGACTTTGTTAAAGCGCCCTCTTCATGGAATTGGATAGCCTTCGCAACATGTTCCTCTGCGGACATATCAATTGTCGCGGTCGTTGAATGCTGAGACTTAGCTTTAACCGTACTCAACGAGCTCAACGATGGTGTTCCATAATCAGTTGACGGCCGGATCCAATCGCTGGACGCTGATCGTGGGTCAAATGAAGGACGGCCCCCGTCCAGAGATGGATCATATGAAGGTCGCGATCGGTCAGCAGAGGGTCTGACGTGGTGCGAGGTCGATGGTCTTGAAGGTGGCGAGGGTGGAGCGCCACCATATGGCTGTACATTAGAAAAGCTGACCGGTTGCTCCCAAGAAATTTGTGTAGTTCCCAGGTTTTCTTGGAATATCAACGAGTTCCGTTGGAGCATCTTCCCCCTCGGGAGAGAGAAACGAGAGTAGACATATGATGGAGCACCGCTCGTTTCGTTTTCAGGAAACCCCTCGCTGTGCATACTAACAGGTGTGTGAACAGTATCATCCTCCAGCAAAAAGGACGGCTGGCTGTCAGAGGACGCCTGACGTGAGGGTGTATCTACTTGCTGTGAAGGGGTATCCATTCTCACAGGTGGATCAGCGGAAATACTGATAGCACTTGCTCTACTCAAAGGTCGCGAAAAATTGAATGCCGGTCGCGGCAATCGTGTTCCCCCAAGAGAAATTTCCGAACTCATAGAAGGTGATCTTTGGGCATGAGAATAAGTATGCCCCGTGCTAGGTGAGGTAGGAGATGTAGATAAAGACACTCCGCTACTTGATGAAAGTTTGCGATGGGTTTCCCTATGGGGAGATAGAACTCGAGGACCGTGTCCACGGTTTGGTCCATGAAGATCATCATCCGAACTTTCGATAGACATCGACCGCGGACTAGGGGTTCTCGGTTGTCGGTACGGTGAGCGAGGTGGTGCCAAAGCCCTGGAATCATAATTGCTAATGCCCAAAGAGTTGTCATTTACTCTGCGATAATGCTGTGCGCGTGCACGAACGGAGTCGACATTCGACCGCAACTGCGATACTGGAGGAGCCATGTCCATCTTTGGAAATCTCTGGTCTCGCTCCAATGGTGGAGGAGACAGTTCCCTACGGACTCCAAAATAGCCAGGGTCCTGGGATGAAGAACGACCCTCTGGCTTCCTACCTCGATACTCTTCTTGTGGGAGCTCGGCTTGTGGCGAGGGTGTGGGCATAGGAGGCGCATTGCTACTCGGGATAGGAGCACCACCAAGAGATGGATGAACAGACACTGGCCGATTTAAAGGAGCCTCCACCTCTGGCTGGATACCAAGACCAGGACTTTCATTCTGTGGTGATATGGGTGTAGCCTCTGCAGACAATGAGCGGAAATAGTTGGGCCGTCCTTGGATAAGAGAATTCTCGATGGCTAGAGGGGGGAGCCTGCTCATCCGCCTTCCACTTTGCATACTCTCCTCCAGTTGCTTGGCCAAAGCCCGACTTTGGGCTGCGAAGGCATCGAGAGGTGAAAGTGCAGGCGGCACATCTCCCGCAACGTGTAGACGTGGTGATGGGAGGTTTCTTGGAGATGCGAGACCTGAATTTCCCAACGGACCATGCGATTGCGACCGCAGATCAATAAAGTTCGGACGGTTGGCCATTATGGACTTTCTGCAGACGGCTGTCAAGCCGGTATTTCCTTTGTAACGTTATCCTCCGTCTCGAAATTCTGATCCAGTCGCGTTTCGGGCACGAGCATGAACGTTGAAAAGGAAGTTGTTTGTTGTAGTGCAGGAGCTGAGTCGTAAATCCAGGTTGACAGGATTTCCGAACAACAATCGTTGCTGAATATGGATATATACTCCGGTATAGGTTGATCAATTACACGTGGGGTGCTATGTCGAGTCTGTAACGTGAATTCGAGGGGCGGATAAGGTGGTGAGTAACTCGGCAGACGTTCGCTGATGCTGGTGTTTTGAATCGACCTTGATCAAAATAATAGGTACTGAAAGGAGAAGCGGTTGGTAGGGAGCGACAATCGGTATCGCATGCGACACGACGATGGAGTAATGGGCTAAGGAGCGTGGTTTGCAACTTCTATCGCTGCAGTGAAGCTTGTTGTTTCAAAGGACGATGATCGTGGAGAAAGGATGTTTTGCGACAAGAGGTCAAAGTCCAGGAGGTTAGCGGGTGACGGGTGAGCATGCAGCAAATGCAACCCCTGTTCGGGCTGCCCCTTGCGGACTGTTCGTCCCCTTCTTTTTCAATAAGTCAAGACACACAGCGGCTCGAGCGATGATTGCACGGATTGAAGCGAATCTGCAGTGTAGGTGGTACGAGGTCACAGAAATTTGATGAATGAGAAAGAAGAAAGAAGAGCAGGAAGCGAAACAACAAATCGTGGTAGTTGTTAGAGGCAGAGGAAGAGGCTGACGAAGGACAGGATTCATTATCCACGTCTAGTTGCCGTCGCTAGACATAAGTGCTTCCTACCGTACACGCTCCTGTGAATACTACGGAGATTTTAATTGGATCGTCTGGCCGAATCCTACGGTGTTCCGTCCATGTGGAGTTGAGATGAATATCTTCCATTTCATGAATACTGTAACGGACCAGATCTTGCGGCAAGGCAGATCCCAAAATATACTTTAGCAGGCGACATGATTGGCTTCTGCTCAGAAGTATGGGGTCAACCTAACCCGGGCCTGTTCATCCTTATAACAACCGGACTCTTCACATACGAACTAACTATTCTACTTTCGGCGATTTCAACACTAAATCGTATTATTAGGCCCGCCAAGAAGTTCGTGTTGATAATTTGATATCAATGCTATTCCTTTGAAAGGGGTCTGGATTTGTGCACAAATAGTTGAACCTCATGTTTTTGTGAATGGCAAGCCCTGTTTTGGAAATAGCCTCACTCGACATAACGCTGACCAATTGCCGAGGACCTTTACGAGATTCAAGATATTTTGGTAGTCAATTGACAGTGCGTTCGGTTCAACGTCCAGCGTTCTTTGAGCCTATTATGTGCTTATTCGCCGAGGTAGTGCTGCACTTGATCATCTCAACTCGTCTCATCTCCTCGGACGGTATTGCAATCAATGTCTTACCTTTCTGTCCTCCCACTCAAAACGCCATCTGACCCCCAGAGTCAAAGGTAACACAAGATTATGTTCCTCGGTCAGCCCCGACAGTACGTTAATCCATAGAACAACCAAGATGTTCCATCGGTTAAGTCCCGCCTCCAACCTACATCTGGTACCTACAGTATCTCAGTGATCGCCATGCAGATCGTGGAGAGACAGACGCCCGTGTCACTGCAGTCTTGTACTGTATGTTTAAAAGCGGTACTTACCCTCGGTTCGCTCACTCTTATTACGAGGAAGCCTCTTTGAAGTTAGTGAGTAAGATACTGGTAAAACGAAACCTCATAGATGCGGGGATTATCGATTAGGGAGAACAATATAAGGCTCTTTTCACGCCTTATGCATAACATATAGCGGAATAAAATTTAACCTGGATATGCACTAGCTAGGCACAACTTGGGAGTACAGTAAAACCTCTTCATAAGGATCCTCGTCATAAGGATACCTGTTTTTTAAGGATGTGTCACCCGGTCCCAAGTGTTTTTGGCTATAAATTAAGGATAACCTCTTACCTCGACGATATCCTTATATTTAACGGTCCGGATCGTTTATTTGTTAACAATATCCTTATAAAAAGGGTAGAATCTATAGGATATACGACGAATAACTTAAGATTTTCGTAAAATTCGTAGGACTTATAATATTTTCCCCTTAAAATAGGGTATATTTCTTGATTAGTAATCCCCTTTATAAGAATACCTCGAATATCCTTAAGAAATTGCCGGTCCCGGGCGCATCCTTAAGTCGAGGTTTTACTGTACGTTCAATTGATAGGGTCTCCATCATCGAGGTTCTTGAACTTGGGGAGATCATGGGTGGTCTGCGGGCCAATCAGAGACAACAGACGGCCCTCATTTCTTCTAACTATCTTCAGCAGCTTCAACTGTTGGGTTTACAAGTAGTGAAACATCTGCTAGTTTAACACCTTCACCAATCAGACGTCAAATTCTACTGCACTGGTAAGTAGTATAGATATTTAGGTTATGTAGTAAACATGGCTATCCCCAAAGAACCGTCAACTTTTGCTAATGGCTAGTATTCAACTCCTTTAAAACTCCGTACCATGCCAAACCCGTACTCGAAATTGCCCATTACATCGTCTTAGATTGTAGCTTTCTAAGGCGGGTTCCTCCTTCATAAAGACCACGATCTACAGCTGCTGCCACTGTTAAGGTACCTCCAACAATTGCACAAAGTCCAGTCAAGAATCCAGTAAAGCTCTTTGATCTCTCTTCGCGGTTGATGACCTTCATTGGCGAGATATCCTATATGATTGTTAGAAAGTTGATGGTTTGAGAAAGAGTGGGATACTCACGTATGAAAAGAATACACCCGGAATACCACCACGAGCATGAACCTTCTCCTTATGTCCCTCAGAAGCGTCGTCACCTCCGTTCAAGCTTCGTCTGTGGCTTGTGACGGAGTACTGGTGTGTTTCTACGCTGCCATCATGCTGGTGTCCATATGATCCGATTCCAACCCATTCGCTGCCGAGCTGCGATTTGTATGCTTGGGTTTCCCATCCTAGAGGGAGATAAGATGTAGACACAACTTTGACGAAATACATGAAATTGTATGCCGGCTCGGTGGTAGTTTGCTTGGTGTCATCTAGCGGGTTCAAGTGGTGGTTTGTCCAAAGATTCGTCTTGGTTCCAAGCTTCTTGGTCAATTCTTCCGGCAACTGAGGTCCAAATCGAAGATGGTGGATGGTGTGGGAGAAGACATGTCCGCCTTCGACAGGGGTATCGAAGTAGTTGTTCAAATCGTGTACGTGCATGTTACCGTTGCTGAAGCTTCGTCCGGGTGCTATGTGGAAATTTCCGATGACCTTGTTCACGCGGAGTGCGCCCTCAATCCTGCATCCCTCTTTTCTCTGAGAGTCAAGTCTCTCTCCATAATGTTCGCGCTCACATTGCTCTACGTTTTCTCCTCGCCCAAAAGCCCAAGATACACTAGCATAAGCCTCTCTAACTTCGTCGCAAGTATTACAACATCCTGGCTTCTGCGCATTCTGAGGGGGAGTTGCTCCATAACATCCACCACAGTACTCGGGATCCAAATGCGCCGCTTTGTCTTCGTCTGAGTGTCTGAAGAGTATTAGTGTAAGAATTTCCATCTCGTCCACTGAGACCTACAAGTCAAGAGCCTTGATATCTATTACATGACCACCCTCAGCTTCTGGTGCAAGTCTGACCTTACTGACACCATGCATGACTCCGACTTGTTGCTCCCCAGAAACGTCCATCACGTCAAGGGTTAGCAACTCGCAAGGTATCTTTGGAAAAGTGATATTCAAATGTATCTCCATCTTTTCACCTGTTCCAAGCGCATCGAGTCAGCATTTGTCCTTCCGCTGAAGATTTACTACATGGGTCCACAAACCTCGTCCCTTATCAACAATCAATTCTGGGTGCACAACTATCCGCCGCCAATCCGCCCATTCGCCCCAAGCAAGCCAAAAAACGATGAGCAACGAAGCTATCGTGACAATTCCTCCAGAGGTTGTCCGCACTCTGGCCTCGTCTACCGTCTTTGTAAAGGCATCTAGCCTGGTGAACCTCGACTTCGGAGGCATTGTTGCGGATCACAGGTGTAGGTCGAAAAATATTCGATGAGATAGCCTTGCGGCAGGGTGCGAGAACGAGACCGCTCAAAGATACATAAAGCTATAGGCGCGGGACCCAATTGGTGTCGCGCAAGAATGCAGAAACAAATAATTTAATTGGCAAAAGCACACGAAAATGTTTCCTTGACGTGAGCAATTCGAAGCTGGGAGAGCTTTAGTTTCGAGACGTGGTGCGCTTTGAGGACAGCTTTCAAAAGTTCCGGCTGTGGCTGGCCCACCATGTGGGAGTGCGGGACCTGGCGATGGCTTGCGTTTGTATGTACCTGCAGGGTCCAAATCGTACCTACTTCGAGGTTACCATACATGAACAAACTTCTCGATTCAGAAGATGGTTTCTCGATAGATATTAGTACGGTTACTGTGAAAAGTGTTTACGGCTTTATCAAGGCAACGAAGAAGATCAATTTTGGTTTTCATTTCTCTCTTCCGCATGGCCATATTTTGGCCTTAGGAACCTGGTGACCAAAGGTAGAGCAATCTTTAGTATGTTTCTGCGCACCATGAGAACAGGCCTATTCTCTAAACTACACCACTTTAAGGTCAAACGGGCCAACCGATTCTGCTCCTGCTCCCGTTCAACAGAAACGCTGGAGTCTGCCTGGTCTAGGCCCAATCACATGACGTTGTCTCTGACTCAATACCATTTAACCGAAGATTCACCGTAGCTAGCACCGCCGAATGCCTCCATTATTCTGTCAGACCCAACTCTTCCTTTGGCCAGCTGCCTTCCGTTCCCAACCAGCGCACATCACCATCAATACTCATAAAGGAACCGTCTCAAAACTCCCTTCGCTCTGGTTCCTACCACAACATTTATTTTACGACACTCTTTCGCACACACCACTTACTCCCACTACATCTACGACAGAATCGAACAACCCCTCTATCATTGTTCGAAGAACGGATCGAACCTCATACAAACAAACCAGTCGCGTCGAGCATACACTCATCGATATAATGCAGCGCTCGTCCCCGGCTCCTCGGGGCCCTCGCAACTCTTCTCCTAGTATTCGTGGCAGAGGTGGAATTCAAAAGCGCAAGGCTGGTCCCACTAGGTTGGACAGAGATGGGGATCTGGTCATGGATGCCGCCGCAGCAGGAGAAAAGCGCCGATCTGGCAGAGGGCATGTTGGTTCGGATACACCATCTAGAGGCCAAGGGAACGGACGTGGAAGGGGGGGGCAAGGTCGTGCTGCAAGTCAGAAACTGTTGCAAGCTCAGGCGGCCATTGTGCGTGGTCTGAACGCCAAACTGCCCCAGGCCAACGTTTTAGAATCTCGAATAACCTCTACGGACTCTGCGCTCCAGATCGATGGCTTGAGCTCAAGCAAGGCAGCGTCAAATCCAGATGGAGGGGTGGAAAGCCTGCTCGCCTTCTTAGAGCGAAAGGCGAGTGCACACGACCCAAAATCGAAACCTGTGAAGATAAAGAAGGTATGTTGTAAACTTGGTCGTGGATCTGCTCAAGGTTTATGCACAGTCGCCGTCTTTTAGACTCTTTCGATTACCAATTCCCAATGAGTCGACGCTCGATATGTCTGCTTTTACCACGCCATGGTCCACGATCGATCCAATTCAAGGTTTCAAACCTTGCTAACGTCAGATTAGTCACTCAAAAAAGGTGGCTCGGTCATTATCACTGCCAGTCCGGATGACGTTTTAGCGATACAGAAGTTGAACGGCTACTCCTTTGCTGGGGCGGATTTGAGCATCACGGCCTGTGAACCGCCGTCCTCGAGACTGGAAAAGCCAAAGGACGAAGTTTCCGTCAGCGCTCAGGAGACGAAAGAACGTCTTCGTGGTGTTCTGGCTTCCAGATATGACGCCAACCTTAAGCTACTGAATCTAGCAGCCCTGGCTCAAGACCCGGGGCTGATACAAATGGGGGTATTTGATGGCAGTACAACAACATCCAAAATCTTCCCTGCGCTCATGGTAGTATGCGATGGATTGTTCAAAACTCGAAGCGAGAAAAGGGAGGCCATTGTCAGTGTCACATTAGCAGACAACGATCTGGTCGATGTGAAGGATGTTGCAGCTCTCGCACAAACTTTTCCGGACATCAAAAATCTTGATCTTTCAAGAAACAAAATTGCACAACTCAGCTCACTCGATGCCTGGGGAACACGATTTCGAGATCTCGTCACCCTTATTCTTACTGGAAACCCGATCGAACCATCACTACCCGCCATCAAATCCGACCTCGTCAAAAAATACCCTCACCTAGAGATACTGAATGGAGTTCAGTTCCGTACTCCAGAGGAGATTGCCTCTACCATAGAGGCAACAAAATATCCTATACCATTACAAACACCTGACTTCCGAGATGTTGGCCAGGTTGGGGAAAATTTTATCAGACAATTTGTTGCTCTTTACGACAGCAATCGGTCTGCGTTGCTAACAAACTTTTACGACGATGAATCCGTGCTCTCGCTAGCAATCAACATGGCAGCTCCACGGAACCCAAAGCAAATTCTGCCCATTGCTCCTTGGGCACCTTACTTGAAATATTCAAGAAATCTTGTCAGGGTCAATAACCTCCCAACACAGATGAGTCGACTCCACCGTGGAAGCCAGGCAATCAATACTGTCTGGTCTGCACTTCCTGCGACCCGCCATCCTGACCTCCAAACACAACCCGAGAAATACCTTATCGAGTGCCATTCTTTACCCGGTCTAGTTGATCCAAATGGACAAAGCGCACGCGGAGTCGACGGCTTGATCATCACCATGCATGGAGAATTCGAGGAGGAAAACGATAAACCAGAACAAGCACTCCGAAGCTTCTCTCGCACATTCGTATTGGGCCCTGGAGGACCCGGAGGGCCAGCCATAAGAGTCATTAGTGACATGATGACTCTGAGAGCCTGGGGACCTTTAGCCTTACCACGAGTCGCCGCCGTAGGAGGAGTACCATTGGAAGCTGCGCCCGCTGTGACTGAACAACAACAACAAGAAGCTTTTGCCCAACAGCTTGTTCTGAGGACTGGCCTTACTTTACAGTATGCCATACTTTGCCTCACCGAGACTGGTTGGGATCTAGAAAAGGCATTTGTTGCATTCGAAGCGAATAGGGTAAATTTCCACTTTTAATTTTATTTTCAATGACCCGCAACTAACGATACGTAGCACAAACTGCCCACTGAAGCCTTTGCAAATAGTAATTTCCAATAAGCGATGAGAGATGAGAATGAACAAGGTTAAGAACGTTCAAATTAAAGAGAGGGTGTCAGGCCAGGGGCATGTATAGGGATAATTTGCTTTTCGCTGCATGGGATCATGAAGGATATAGAATTACAACAACATGGGCATTTGAGCGATGGAGTTGGTGGAAATCAATCATATGGGCTGTCGGCTACAAAGTGGAGAGAAAATCCTACGCTACTCAAACTACAGGGCCAACACAGGAGTTTTAGGATATATAAATGAATCAACTCATACATACTCGAATACTAGTATTTCTCATGTGAAATGTTTGAATTACATACAGGTGAACAAGATTGAGCCATTTGCATCTTAGACCACAATGGCTTTTCATTCTCCACCTATCAGGTTCCTATCAATTCTTACTATATCGCTTCGTCCATAATATGCATCATCTCCGGAATTGGCCACCTCTTTTCTGTCTGACTTTTAGACAGCCACCTCGCGCTTTTGGTTTCCTTCAAGTTTGTTGTTAGTGAATTTTTCTCCATAATGCCTTTAGCTTTTCACAAATGGTTTTGAGTCTGGATTTTCTTATCCTGTATCTAGCGGAGGTTTATGGGAAGACATTTTCGGGTAGTGGACTTAAATGCTTTGAGGTTGTTTGCTATTTACTGGCATTGGTATAATGGTAGTGTAGAATAAGATAGGGAAGTTGTTTAGAAGTGATAAGGAATATGTGTTGTGATAGAGAGAGAGACTCGGAGGAAGAGAGATCTGTATATGTTTGCTCATATGTGAATATTTGATGACAAAGACTCATGGTTTCAGGGAGTCCTGTATGCATTATATACTAATCATTCTAGTTTAGCGCATGTAATAACGTCATCGCTCGGTTTGTAACTTTGAACCTCCGCAGTGTCCTATAGCAATGAGATTTCTACACTTCTGAACTGTAGGAACATACCGTATCTATAGAATTTTGATTGAATTTTATTAAAAATATGTTCAGAGTCGTTATTTGTACACGAAGCCTCAAACAAGGCAAAACAGTATAATCACCCTGCCATCTCCACAGGGATCCGAGGTCTCCTCGTCGTATCTAGTTCCGTTGGCGCGCTACCAAAGACATGGTCCGTAGAATCAAGCTTCCGTGTATTATCTGTTGCCATCTCTCTCACAATGGCATTCGACTCCATCTCCCACGGTTTTGATTGATATGGCTGTGAACACCCGGTGGCAGCTACGGGTGTAAGAGGCTCTGTTTCCCCAGTAGTACCATCCGATCTGCGATTCTTGAACCAGAGCCAAGCCCCAATGAGACACCCAATCATGATAATTGCTGCAACACCTACGACGATACCTGCAATGGCTCCGGCGCCCAGCTTACTTGCTTCTTTTACGCTGCCGGGAGTCTCAGTTGGCGTAGAGGTGCCAGAAGGGGTTGTGGCCGGAGGAGGTGCGCTAACAACATCGCCCGCATCGTTCAGAACTGTCCACGCACCTTTCCAAGTGTCTTTCCAAACAGCAGTAGAACCAACGATTGACGTGTCACTGGATTTAATGGTAGTTGGCGTTCCTTTGCTTGGAGTGTTAGGCCCCGGAGCTTGCGCCAAAAACCAAACACCATTACCAGTTCCCATTGCGGTTTGCCAATTGACGCCCACAAAAGCCGCTTGAAGAAATGCACGACCCAGTTCATATTTCCCATGTGGTCCGAGACCTGGTCGCAGAGGGAAATATGGGGTGGGCTTGTCAATGATAGGTGCAGTAAGTGTGAGGTTCAGGAGGGCGAATGGAACATTTATCGTCATGTTATTAGTGACGCTGCCGCTCAGTCGAAATGTGAAGGACAGGAATGCCGGCGAGGAGACAATTTTTGCGTATCTTGGATCTTCAATGTCCCAAAAGTAGAGACCATATTTATCCTCAAAAACTACGGGCAGGCTCTGGGTTATCGCATCACACGCACTTTTTGGCAGATATATCCAGGGCAGAGGTGCCTCAACATACACTGTTGTAGCTACCCCCATGGACGAATTTCCCTTGGTCAACAATCCAGATACAGAAGTGAAATTGAAAGGTGATGAACCTTCCGCAACACCGATCCCAATGTCGAGGAGATCTATGGGCAGATTCGAGATTTCATATGGTTGAGCACTGACGGATCCTAAAGCTCGGGTCTGGTCGAATCCCCCGAAGTATAATGAAGGGGAGATCCCTTTCGCCACAGCACCTAGATGCATTCCATATGAGTTCGAAGGAGCTTTCTCTTGCTCTACCAGTGCACCAGGAAGAAGTGTACCGTTGAACCTGGGGTTAGGTGGATTTTGTGCCCATGACTGATTAAAATTAGATGCTCCTAATGCCAATCTAGAAAGTTCTCATGTTAGCCTTCGGATCTTAACAAAGGTTGAATAAATGGGTTGCCACGGAAGACTAAACGGGTAGATATAGTATTTCATGTTGACGAGACACGTATAAGAGGGGGAGAGTGTGTCCTTACTTTCCAATCTGCGCTGGATAAGTCGTCCCATCTGGGAGCGTCTCAACGCCGGAAGTTACTGTTAACATAACGAAATTATCGATTGCCAATGTGTACGATTCCAAGCTCCCACCACTTGAATCTAAGCCACTACCGCTGTTTTGCATCGGTATTGTGGCAGTGTCAAATATCCATTCTGCGCTCCCCTCTAATGTTGATAAAGTATTGCCTGTTTTTGAGAAGCTCTCATTTTGGATGCTTCCGGTTTGTGGGATTTGGACAAAGGTGGTGGATTTCTTTCCATCGTAGAAGCCTGCTTTCGACACATCGCAGTTGACGGCGATGCTGCCTGTGCATACTGTTGATGCCAACACATTTGACATCCACATTCCACCTGGTAGAAGATCAACAATTTGAGGTGGACTTCCAATGCTAACAGAGACGGCATGCCATGGTCCATCTGGCCCATGGGTTTTCGTTGACCATGTGACGGCCTGCGGAGCTCGATCGGCAGCGAAGGTTGATGGAATAATGAAAACTTGAATGAGTGCAAGCTCTACAAGGAAAGAGTAATATATCATTATCAAGAAGGAACGAGGGAAAGACAAGAAACGGGCGGTAAAGGTGTAAAGCAATGGAATACGAGAAGAAGAAAACAGCGAACATAGAGATACGAATTGAGGAAAGGAATACCATGAGAAAGACAAAACGGACATTTGCGTGGCCGCATTCTTGCATCCTGTCGTGCATGGCGGCTATGTTGGCGGCAGGTGTGTGATCCCAAGTTGTGAGAGGTCCATGATTTCCGACAACTCTATTGTAGAGGATCAACATGGTCCATTGAACAGGTATTTATGGCTTGCAAAGTCCTCTTTATTACAGTTACCTTGGCTAACAACTTCTGTTCAGCGCAACATCACTAACGAGAAGCAGATACTTCTGGGAGTGGTGGGGGACTAACAACAAGAGTAAGGTCGATTGATGCTTCCTACCGAAAACTAGCTTCATGGAAGAACATATATCTATTTTGAGAACCCCCCTGTTTCAACGTTGTTGGTGTCGCCAAGGTCCAGCCAATAGCCGTTAGCCATAGGATAGGACATCTAGAGGCGCCGACCACGATGGCCACGATCCGCACCCTAATGTTCATGTCAATCTAAGCTTAAAACGTCCGAAGGCGGAACAAGATACGAGAGACTTCTTTGCTGACAGAAGGGGTGAGATGTCAAATGCTAGGGAGATATATGGTAGGCCGACGAGGGATCGGGTTTCGACTCGCTAAAGCCGACGATTAAGGGGCTATCAGTGACAACGACCGTCGCCAAGCATATATTATCTACGGCTGGTCCGTCTTCAGAACCACATGAACAATGAACCAGACAGTCACGAAGGGTTGAAATGGCCCTTGAACTCCCGGCTGGGGTGAACAAACGGTATGCTACCCTTGCTGCAATCACAATCTCCATCTTCTGGCTGTGGATTGTCTTTGATCGACCGTACGAGCTTCCCGACAACATTTCTTGGAACATCTATTCCGGTGCCACCAAGCCGACAGCTACTACTTCCACGCACGCGATCGATTCGACAGTAGACCTCTTCGACGTCCCCGTACTCGAGTCCGAAGCCCTCAAAGAAGTTTGCTACGAGACCCACTGGAATAAGAGCTTGGTCTTCACATGCGATGAGTCGGCGGGAGGGATTGGGAGCATTCGAAGTTCCGTTCTACACTGCATCCGATATGCAGTAGCGGCGGGTGCAAGCCTTGTGCTCCCCAGTATCGTACTACGAAATGCTTCAGATATATCGCACATAAGTACGGGGCTCAAAACGGACTTGGAATACATGTTCGACGTGCCATACTTCATGCATTCGGTACGCCTCAGCTGCCCCGGACTTAATATACTCGAGTCGAAAGCGAAGATCAAAGACCTCAACACCGAATATGACGCAATTTCACTTCTGCCAGATAGTGTGGTCAATTTTACCAATCCAATTCATGGCCAGCCAAAACTGGAGAAAGTCATAGGAACCTCCTTCCACGATCCCATAACCTGGCGCGCCGAATTCTATGGTTGGCTAAGGCAATTCTACATCAAGGATAGAAAGGGTCCAGTTGTTGTTGACCTTGAAATATCGCATTTGCAATATCCCGTCGCTTCAGATGGTGAAGGCTTTGCTCTTGACTTCGGCTCACTCCTCAGATTCCGCGCGGATGTGCGCGGACTCGCGACCCAAGTCATTCAGGGACTCGCGGAACAATACACACCCAATATAAACCTTACTGCAGACTACTATCCGAACGCCTTCTTTGGAGTCCATTTACGAACTGAGAAGGATGCAGCGGAGCTTCGACTTGCCCAAGATTCGACATTCTCCAGTTTCGAGACCCAATCCAGATTATATCTTGATCAAACTCCGCAATCGCAACCGTCTGTAATCTATGTTTCATCAGGAGACCTCGATGAAGTTGCAAAGTTCACCCTCGAGGCAACGAAGAACAATAATACCGTCAACATTCCTGTAGTTACAAAGTTCGATCTTCTCAAGGGAGTGGCACTGGCTGAATTAAATGCCCTGACATGGGATCAGCAAGCAATGGTAGATTTTTTGGTCATGTTGAAAGCTTCGGACTTCGCAGGGGTTGGCCATTCAGGATTTGCCTGGAATATTGCATTGAAAAGGCATACTCTCGCACAGCAAAAAAAATACTTGGATGGGCCACAGATGTTGAGCGATGATTTGAGTCAAATTTATGGGAATGTGAGGGGATACCCGGAGTTTGCTGCATGCATATGGCCTTGATTTTAAATTTAGATTTTGTTCTTGTTGGACTAATCATTATCGGAACATATGATGTTCGTTAGAAGTATATAGGCATAGGATTGGGGCAATATTATGAATAATGCTGCATTACTATTAAGGCAATTAAAACAATAAATGACTCCTGGAGCTGGTGTCTATCAAATGTCGAAATCAAGCTGAGCAGAAGGATATACCTGTTGCCGTGTTCTATCTTTTGCTTTTCATATTCTGGCTTTTCATATTCTGGTATAACCGGGGAAATGAAGATGCCATATGTCACTGCTGATATTCGCGCGAGTAGCTCACGCAAACGACTACAGTTGTATTTTCCCCGGTAAGTCAGTGGAAGAAGACATCATGAACACACTGCAGTGATACGATAATAAAAAGGTGGGCGTTCACAATAGGTATGTGTATCAATGTAATCCTTCTTCAATTACGAAAGGAACATGAGTTATAATACAAGGCTGGTTTTGGGACCAACCAGAAGATATTTGCTTCTCTCGACTTCAAGTTCTGCGAACGCAGATAGTTAGCAGTAAAATTATAAGCCTCTTCGTGTTGATATAAACATACGAACGGAAGTCTAACAGGCGTTCAATTGCATTTGAAAGTCGTTCTTTGAGGTAAAGCTTGAGCAATAGCAACAGAGAGATGTTAACTACGATAGATTGAGAAATGTTGTCAGTTACATTACATAATATTGGTCTACTTGTCTTTACCAGAAGAAAGTTTTAGAGCACCAGGAGGATCGCAGAAACTTAGCGTCCTACCTACCTTCAGTTCAACAGTCTACCTTGTGGTTATTTCATATAATTGTTGTCAAGTCTTAGGAAGTGGAGAATTGCAGCATTTCTCTGCCGTGATACGTTTCTTGTACATTTACTGTTTAATCAAAATTAGGTCGTCCCGGAGATCTCTTCCGAAAATGAAAATGAAAATTTCTAACGTTACCGGATACATGCCATTTAATAGAAAGTAGCAACTTGTTAAATTCGGAAGCTGAAGGCTTGTAGTACACTTTGGGAAAACTAGATGCGACGAGCAACACTGAGAGAAAGGCAATCCAAGAAATAAAACAAAAAAGTCGCTCCAGGAAGAAGAGTTTTGGATGGTACTTGAAAGTCAGCGGTGTTTGAGGGGTATTTAAGCTACATTGCTTTACTCACCAATCCAGATATTGGCAGTTTCTTGTCTAATTTGGCCAATATCTACTAGTTCTCACTGATTCGTCAAGTTATAAAAGTCCAAGTGTACAAAAGTCTAGATAGACCCATTGGTATTAAGAATACACTGTGTCCCAGGGACAGAAAACATAGCTTGTCTTCTTCTCTTTCACTTATACCGAAGCGTTAATAGTAAAAGGTAAATAATAATAACTACCCCACATAGGAATCTAAGCGCTACCTTGACCATGTTTTCATGTTCCTTTTGACTCTCAAAAGTTACACTCTTCGCCATCTCATTGTTGATAAAAATGGCTATTGCCGAGTGAGAAAATGTAGCTGATGTGATCCTGAATAAAAAATAGAAAGAATTATAAGCCTTGTAGTGAGGTAGAAGGAACAACGCATTTTGTAGAAGGTAAAACTTTTAGGAGATATCAATTTCGCTACTGACCTTCAGACGCCACCACACCTGGTTTCTGGGATTCTTTCTTGACACAGTCAGCACTTATATCTTGTCTTTTCTACAACCTAATCAGTATCCTGACCAGAAATTGTGCAATGAAACTGTACACAGAGCAATATGAGTTCATTTCATGGGTGGAAACGCCATATCCGAAGCTATGCCTGATAATGCACACAAAATAATTCTTATACACACTAAAAACCGACCGTGGTTATGCTGATAATCATCATAGTATCGTGGTCGTTATAAAAGCGGAGTTGGTATAAACAGCCATCGAGTTCATAATCACTTGCCGAAATATCTAACATTAGTTTAGAAATGAGAAATGCAAAGAAACTCTGTACCTAGTTCGGGTTTCCAATAGGGGTAGATGCCTGACTGTAGATTATATAAGGCTTTATTGACGGAAGCGTCAAAAGTGATTATATGGAAACAAAACGATATTAACATGGTCAGTATCGTCATCTAGTACTCACTAATATCAAATCGACTGTTTTTAATCATTAAGAATGACTTAAACATTATAACAAAACAATAAAATCAGATTGTCGCTTATAGAGACCTTCCTCCTGAAAGAAGAGGGTCCAAAGTCTAGGAGGTGAAGCAAAAATCAAAAATTTGTTTTATAGTGTTGCGGGTACTTTACTCACAGACTATCGACACATAACTTTCCTTTAGCTTGCTTCTTACCTAGTAGAGAGAAAACAGTCAAAACATTATGATATTTGACTCATCGCCACGTAGTTTTGAATAGCTCGAAAGCACTACCACTAAGTGATAAGTCGGAGCAATGTGGATGCCGGAAACAGAATTAGAATTAGCAATAGGATCATTGCAGTACTTCATGCCATTTAACTTCATTTAATTTGTATGAGCCTTGCGTATGGAAGTGTTACGCACGAGGGATGTACGTGTGAAAGGGCTGAATGTGACCAGATTTAACCTCAGGTACAGGAATGACTGCCGAGAAAATGGGTGCTGAAAACTCCTGTATTCTCGTGGAAAAAGCTGATATAGAATGACACTACTTCAGAAATTGTAACATAGCTTTGAGTGCCACATGTTGTCTTGTGATTTGATCTGAAATTCTAAGGATGTTGCAATGTTTGAGGCTCTGGTGGTGTGCCGCATTATGCACAAGGAAAGGAGTAATGTTGGATTCATTGGAATGTTGGAATCCAAATGTTAGGTGACCATAGAAGCAGATGATAGAGCAAGCTACGACATAGTGGTTGGATCAAATGGGACAAGGAGTATTTCATTCAGGGCACTCGAGGCTACGATCCATCAATGCTCTTGTCCACATCCTCCGTCTTCACTTGAATCATTCTACACTACCCGATCAGAGTAGATTCTCCAACATCTATTTGATTAAAGAGTGGCGACAGACACTAGCATGTGATAAACTCGACAAAATTGAGGGGATGCTGATCAACTCTCAACCAATATAGGTTTTATGTAGTGTCACGCTCAATGAAGATATCATGCCAAAACAGATGGACGCATACCTCACAGGAAAAGAGAAACTCATCAGCAAATCTTTGTATACTGAGCATGAAGGTTCTTACACCTGCTTTCAAATCTCCTTGCTATGTAGTACTTGAAGGATGATTTACAATTTGAAAATCTGCTAATCATCGCTTTGCCTCAAGTGACACACGAAAACAGTTCGCCCGCCTTACGTCTAACAATTTGAAAGTGGTACGAACTTTACCTGCAGCCTTGCCGATAAAACTTTACCTACCTGTCGGTTATGCCGGTTCAATAGGCAAAGCTGATGTTGTCGAAGAATGTTGTACGACAGACGAGGCAGACTTCCCCGTATCACATGTTTAGTTGGGACTACCAACTCTGCGTAGTGACACAATGGAACATTCTCCTATGTCGCCATGTGGCTCAGTGTACGGCACTCGATTGCCCCGTGAGACTTCAAGGAGCAATAAACATCAAGAGTACGGGGTTGAGCGAATGTCTCGCTTAAATGCTGTACCACAGAATGCATCCCGCGATTAATGAGAAAGGTACTTGACAAGCGACAGCGTTTCAGTATACGGCGTCTCCCATATCTTCTTTGGTCTGGATCAGGACTCTTTGGGGCTGATGCCATGCATGAAATGCAATGATCACTGGACAAAACGGCCTCTCTACCAACAACATATGACGAGCAGCAAAGTTTAAATGCCAACATCCAACGGAGACAGCCTTGCCACATCGGCAATCCCGCAATGGTACCTTTCCGGACGATACTGATCTTCAGAGGCTTCAAGCCAACAGATAGCCGCCTCCTCGCACCAACGCGACCCGTCGAGGTTTGACAAGAAATAAAGTTCTTTGTCAGTGAAGATATATTGCTTTGTCAAGTGCCTAGTGAATACATGCATAGCGAGGAAGCCGATGCAACAGCCAACTCGAGATTCTACAGTCAACTCGTTAGCACGTGGTTTCTTGAAGAGGCAAATGGAATGCCCGATCAAACAGCTCTGATGGCTGTATTATGTTACCTTTATCTGCCTTCCAGAAGAGAAAGATAGCTCCCCCACAGAAAAAGCAAATGGGTGCCGGCCCAGCAAAGGAGACGTTACAGGATAAGGTTCATGTTCATGTTGTGTCACAACGACCCAGCTTCTACATCGCGATTTGAAGTGTGATATTCCCAGCAGGTCGGCGAGGTGCCCGCAAAACTCGTGATATTCAGGAAGGTCGTTCCTGGGGTTGTCGGAATATATTATTCCCCCCACCCATCCACACCTTCAAGAAGCGGACCCCTCCTTTGCACAAGACAAATTGCCTCATCAACAGCTTGCATACGCCCTTGCATAAAGCAACACACAGAAAACTCCCAGTTTTACCCCAACGCCACCAGCCTGAATGATCCAATGAAAAATCCTATCTAACTTCCCAATCAAGCACGCAAACCCGTATGTCGGGGTATCCAATCAGTTGCGACCAATATCATGGCGTCGGAAACGGCCCGTACTCGGTGCCTCTGGTTGCTTTTACGTGAGAGGCTGAAGAAGGCCGTTGAGAGGACGGATTAAATAGCTGGAATTGGCGTAGGGAGAACCTGTTGTGAGGTTTTGTGGTTGTGATTATGCAGGGCTTCTCCGCACGTTGCAACCGGAAGACATCCGTCAGAAGCAGAGAAGGAATTTCCAACCATCCAGACTTCTAGAAAGATGTCGACGTCCCTTCGACCGTTTTCCACAGAGTGTGACGCTGCGGACGTCGCTTCAATATAAAGTTCCGACGACTGCACTTAGGCTCGCGCCGGCGTGAAAGATAACGATAACTTAAAGTTGCGAACACAGACTGGACTGGAAATCCGGAGAATTTGGCACTGAGACAGAAGATCTGGGGGAGCAATAAAA